GGGGATCGCTTCGACCCCTTTTTTTTCAGTTTCAAATACTAATTGAGATAGTGATATCAAACCAGACAATATTTTGCTTGACAGAGGTGGACATGTTAAATTGACTGATTTTGGTCTATCCACTGGTTTCCATAAACTGCATGACAATTCTTATTATCAACAATTATTGCAAGGAAAATCTAGCAAGCCAAGAAACAACAGACAATCAGTCAATCTTGACGAAATCAACCTCACAGTTAGCAATCGAAGTGTTATCAATGACTGGAGAAAGTCTCGAAGAGTCATGGCCTACTCAACTGTTGGTACACCTGATTATATCGCTCCAGAAATTTTCAGTGGACATGGTTATTCCTATGATTGCGATTGGTGGAGTCTTGGTACGATCATGTTCGAATGTCAAGTCGGATGGCCTCCTTTCTGTGCCGAAGATGCCCATGACACATATCGAAAGATTGTCGCCTGGCGTACGAATCTCTACTTCCCTGAGGATGTACAACTTGGACCTGAAGCCGAAAATCTCATTCGAAGGTATGAATACTCTTAACTGTTCTCTCTTGAGTTACTAATCTGACTTTGTGCGCACTAGTCTTGTTTGTAATTCAGAGAATCGACTCGGACGAGTATCAGCAGATGAAATCAAGAGCCATAAATTTTTCCGTGGTGTTGAATTCGATACTCTGCGTCGTATTCGTGCTCCATTTGAGCCCAAGCTGGCTTCCAATGTTGATACCACATACTTCCCAACTGACGAGATTGATCAAACTGATAACGCAACCCATCTCAAGCAAGCTCAAGCTCAAGCTGCCCATAGTGGTGTTCCTCGAGAGGAAGTACCAGAGATGAGTTTGCCATTCATTGGCTACACATTCAAGAGATTCGAGTCCAACTACAGATAATCGTGGTACATCTCTCCACTATTCGATTGAGCGGATCCGCCATGAAGCTGGCCGGCTACCACATAGGTCAAATCATGAATCCCTGTTATTCTATCAAGTTTTCACCTGGAGTGAAGTATTTCTATTTCCTAGTTGTCATTACATGGCCTTTAAAAAGTCAATCTAGCCAGATACCATTGATTGCATGTTCTGCAAGATTACAATTAGACGTCTGACATCTAGCGGGTCTGTTTCTTTTTCCTGATTTTATTTCGACTGGATGCACACATGAGCGAAACAGCCTGGTTCTAGACTTCCGGCATAGGGGTGGGTTTTAAGGTTGGGAAGAACTTTTTAAATGTGATCATAGTGGGAAATATTAGGTTAAAATTGATGTACCTGGGTATACCTTGGGAAACATCTACACTTTCAATCAAAAAATGAAATAATATCAACTACTTGATTACACCGTCCCTGGTGATGTTCCTGTGATCTCATATTATAATACAATTTAGCCATTACTAACTCCTACGAACTCCATGCAATAATGTCCTCTCATTTTATCTGACTGGAGCCAAGCCTGGCACACCACTGTATCTCTCCTCTCTCTCCGTCTTGAACATGATCTGAACCCAAAATTCTTTCAAATCCGAATCCCACCAAGTCCAATACCTTTCATTTGAGCGGTCAATCTCTCTTGCCTGCAACTTGAACCCGCACGTCTCATAAGGTTCCGCCGCTACCAACATATACTGAAAATCCTTATCAGGATCCTCCACCTTCTGCTCGAAAGCACTCATGAACCGGACCCGCGGTTGCACATCTGACACTATTTCGGGATACTGCAACTGAAATAACAACCCCTGCTGTCTTGTAACCGGATCCCGCGTCTTCGTGATCTTATACCCAGGCCTTCCAATCTTCACCATATTTTTGCGAACACTAACTTGCGCTCCTACCATTCCGACAGGTAGACCGGTAATAGGATCAATCCCCGACCGGCCTTCCTTTTCCTCGCGTGCAGCACGTCGTGCGAGATTCGTCTGATGCTTGCGACCCTGGGTATGCGCGAGATAGGAACCATCATTTTGATGCACGGTAAGACAGAGTCGACATTCGAAGGAGCCGACGTGGTTCTTGAAGAAGTAGGGGTCTTTGTCTAGATCGATAGTCTCGAGGGCGAGTTTGCGGAGACGCTCACGACGATCGGCATTGGTTGCACTGGTGGAAGCGACACCACCACCGCCGAATTTACTGCCGGCGCGGTTTTGGTAGTCCATCTTGGGTGGATGATGAGGGCGATGGGGATGGAGATAGGATTCAAGGCTGGTGAGCTTGAAGATTGATGAGTGGTAGTAACCGTGTCAAAACTTCGAACTTTGATATTTAGGAGTATCGATCTGTAGACGCAGTTTCGAAATTGATATCGAATCAAGATCACCGTGATGAAGAAAAAAGCTTAAATGCGTTGTAGAGATGTTGCGATGGTAAAGTGAATGTTGATGTCGCGAAAAAAAGTTCGGCTGTGGTTCAGCCTCTCTTTGCAAGGCTGCAACTTTATTTCCAAACGAGCACAATCCATGAATGAACCTCTTTCACAATGTCACAAAATCACAACTACCGCGTGGGTCAACGGGTATCGTTTCAAGGACAATTATGTACAATTCGATATATTGGGGAGGTCAAGGATACAGAGAAGGAATGGCTTGGGGTTGAATGGGACGACCCTTCGCGGGGTAAGAATGACGGGAAAGGGTACTTCAAATGTCAGTTGTTGTCATGAGAAATCTTTGGGAGTAGCTCCTAATATATACATAGGTTTAAGTAATGCACCAACTCCAGCAAGCTTCATACGTCCTACCAGAAAACCAGATCCCGAGCAGAGCTTTGTCGAAGCGGTATTCCACAAATACGCTTCTGGAGATGGCCTGAACCCGGACAAGCAGATTGTTATATCGGGAAAGGTAGCAGAAGAGATAGGATTCGACAAAATTGCAGAGCAACAGGCTCAGGTACATGAACTCAAAATTGTTCTGGTTGATGGTCAGCGCATCAATAGGGCTCATACTAGACTTCACGATGCCTTCGCTACACCAGTGGTGGCTGAAACGGCGACTGATCTTACAGTCGGGGAAGCATGCCCAAGTATTGTTGAACTTGATTTGAGCAGAAATTTGTTTGGATCTTTGGATGAGATAGAAAACATTTGCTCGCAGTTGAAGAATTTGAAGACTTTAAGACTAAAGTAAGCACTTCCAATATTCTGTTGGGCTTGACTAATATTATTCTTGTAGTGGAAACCGACTAGAGCTTGACATAAGCAGAATGTTAAATGCAATCACGTCAGGGTCTAGTGAAGAAGTTTTCAACATGATCAAGGCTCTGGAGGTAGATTCAACATTAGTTGATTGGAATGAGCTTTGCATACTCCTGCAAAGATTCACTACCACGGTATCTCTGACGGCATCCTCAAACGGCTTTAAAAGACTGAGTTCGCCCATCACGAGTCATTCTCTGGCCTCTTTGACCCTTGAGTATAATGACTTCACATCACTGGCGGATTTGGAGGTATTGACTCAACTCACATCCCTCGAATCTTTACTTCTGAAAGGAAATAAAATACATACAACGGGAACGATGACAGGGCCAGGGGCCGTGAAGTCTTCCACTCCCTTAGTCTTCAATAATAAGTTATCATATATCGATCTATCTTCCAACAAAATCAACAGTTGGGATTTTGTAGATGAACTCGTCGATATTTTCCCTGGCATGACGTCTTTACGAATATCCAAAAACCTAATATATCCGGAAACAAGCGCCGAATCGACAATGGGAAGTCTCAACGAGGAATTCATGTTAACATTAGCACGTCTTGGGAACCTTGAAAAGTTAAACTTTAGTGGAATCTCCCCTCAAGATCGAAATAACGCAGAATTGTTCTACCTCTCCGAGATAGGCAAGGAACTTGGAGCTGTGGACTCAGAGCAGGAATCTACAGTCCTCTCTAGACACAAACGATACAAGGAGTTGTGCGACCTTCATGGCCCCCCAGCAGTAGTGAGGAGAGAAAAAGCAGAGATCAATCCTGCATTTTTGGAAGCACGTTTGATCAGATTTACGTTTTACGTTCCTGCAAACCCTGAGACTAGCCAAAAGGAAACCATTCTAGTGAAAGAGATTCCTAAAGCGTTCAGCATCTACCGAGTCAAGGGGATTGTTGGGAGATTATTAAATCGTAGGCCATTAAGTTTGAAATTGATTTGGGAAACAGGGGAATGGGATCCCGTTGCAGGGTATGAGGATATTGACGAGTATGATGACGATAACGCTGTGGAAAATGCCAGAGAAGCTTTCGCTCCTGTTGGATTGTCTGATCTGAATCAAAAGCAATCCAAGAGAGAAGATTCTAGCATCGCAATTGACAAACCTGTCTCGCAAACTCACGGGCAAGTAGGGGAGTCGAAGGCAGGCAAATTCATGAAAAGAGAAGTGGAGTTGGAGGATACAACGAAAGATGTTGGTCTTTGTGTAGATGGCATGGAGGCTAGGGTTAGAGTTGAATTCAAAAATTCGAGGAAATTTCCTGGCGGGGAGGAGTGAATCGAGATAAGTATATCTTAGCATGCATTTGATACCCGATGGCACAGAGAAACACAGAATAGAGGTAGAGGAGAGCCTCACCAAACTGCATTAGGGCTAATGATTGTTGTTTTCCCCCATTGCATTGACAATCCAATTTACGATTTTGATTTGCAAATTCAATGTTTATTTTTTTGCGTAAGTGTGTGTGTGCTGGTACAAGCAAAGAGAATTTGGACGTTTCTATCGAACAAAGTTTGTTTGAACGACATGTACAAGAAGAGAGTTTCCGGATCCCGTGTTTTTTTACAGTTGATTGTAGAGTACAGAGCATACATTACAAGGCAAACAAGAACAATCGCGCATAGATGTTAAGGTGTGAAAGTCAAATACCTAATTTTAAGTTGTTCATCAACATTATATATCTATCTCTCATACCCCTTCGACCTTTCTTCTCCGTGCTACCCACCATACACCATACATGTCACATTGATCAGACGAACACCCTTGCCATAAACCACCACAACCGGTTGCAAGTAGACTATCATGTCTACTAAAACCAACAAAAGAGAAGCTCCGGCTCAGGACCACACAGTTCAAGGTCTGTCGAGTTCGGCTCAAGGTCCTCGACCAGGCTACTTCATAGTCCGCAAGACGGGACAAGTCGTACCGCTAGTAGCGGTTGATGAACTACCCCCAGGTGTGGATTTAATAGGGGTACCGAGAAATCTAGATTTAGTGGAGACAGGCGGAATGTTGAACTTGGGGTTGCAGGGAGGAGCACAACCTGGTGCTCCGGGTGGTGGGGGCTTTTATGGCTTGGTTGGATTGGAGGGGGATGAAGAGGGAGATGAGTATGAAGATGAAGATGGAGCGGTGGGAAGTAGTGGGTATGTATCCGTTGTCGAATTGAGGGGGCAAAGGGTTTGAGGCGATTGTGTGCTAATTTGTCGAAATCAGATCCGATACTGCAGTTTCTAGTCCTCTTGTGCTACCCATTCGATCCTCCGCGTTGACCACAGCCACAAATACCAAAAATCTATCCACAAAATCACACTCCTCACCGGGCCTGTCAACATCAATCCACGCCCCTTTGCGCAATGCCACATCGACACTAGAAATACAGCAGCAAGGACAACAGCAAACATGTCGACATTGGTGTACACATAATAGAAGATGCAAGTGGGCGGAGAATTGTCGGTATAAACATGAGATGCCTAGAACGAGATTTGAACTTGGGTTGATTGGGTTGAGTGATTGGCCGAGTTGGTTTAAGGCGGAGAATTTGGGATTTTTTCCTGGGTATGGGAGGGGGGTTGATAGGGGGGTGGAGAGGTTGAGAGATTTGGATGTGGGGGGTGGGATGGAGAGGAAGGAGAGGGAGAGAGGTAGTAGTAGGGTTGGGAGAGAAATGGAGAGGGGATCTGGGATGGGAGTTTTGGAGGGTGAGAGGGTACTTGAGAGGTTGAGGGAGATGGAGAAGCTGCTTAGGGGTAAGGTTGTTGTGGGAAAGGGTAGGGATGAGAAGAGGGTGGATACGAAAATCAGAGAAGAGAAGAGAGTTAGAGAGAAGGAGAAAGAGAAGCTCAAAGAGAGGGAGAGGGAAAGAGAAGAAAAAATGGATATCAGAAGAGCGGAAGCGAAAAGGGAGAGGGAGGCTTCGAATAGAATCGATCGGGGAGATTTGGAGGGGACGAGAAAATGGGAGGATGATAGTGACGAGGATAGTGATGATGAGGTGAGTAAGAGAGGAGGGAATAAGAAGGTGTTGGAGCAGGTGGAGAAGAGTAAGGGTTCTGGTGGGGAGAAGGAGAAGTTGGTTGATGTTTGACAAATTCTGTTTGGAGAGCGGAGAAAGCTTTAGAGAGTTATTTTGGGGGGTATTGTGATGCCTAATTTACTTCATGTTCGAGAATAATATTTGGGTTTGTAATTCTAAGTGGAATAAGTGATGTGGCGTGTTGGTAATTGGCGAATTACGCGATCTTACTTTAAATTACACTGTTGAACTATCTACTACGAAGTTTGTTTTTTTGCTTATACTTGCCCTTCTGTTTGTTTCCGGGAAAGTCACTGCATTTTTGTCAGCCTGCTGTTAGGTAATCAAAGCAAGAAAAAGAGAGCCAGTGTAAGATCTAATTGCAAATGAATACCAACGCACTGCCATCAATTATATGCCAAGGTGGTTTCAAATTTCATATGATCAAAGCAAGGTGTAGAGATTCCTGAAGGAGAAGGGAAGTTCGGGGAATAATCAAGGGTTATTCAACATCAATCTTGTTTGAAAATATTGTTGCTAGTTTGTATTTTCACTGTCACTTTCCGTGCGCAACGTTTCATTTTGACCAACAATAATTCAGAGAGCAACATGAACTATCCAAGAGAGGACTTATGCCTTCACTTGTGAGCATGAGGAATCAAGTGCTGAATGAGCGGATGGTAGAGCTTTAACAGTCTCTGGAATTCTATGTTTAGGTACTGGCGAGTGTCGAATCCGTAATTTCTCGCCAGGTTCATGGGCATTTTTTGAATCAATAAATGAGCGCACTAGGAGCTTGTATTTATATTTTTTGATTGAGTGAATCAATGGATTTATGGGGATCTAGTGAAAAGGCGAATAAGATGTGAATCATCGACTTATGGAGGGAGGGTAGTTGCGAGGGTATATATTTTCGTAGATTTGGACCTCTAGATTCTTCTTCAGATTCGGCTAGAGAGACATCTGACACACAGGCTATGGTAGGCTTTGCCGTTTTTTGTAAACGAGCTGAATTCTTCTGCTTTAATGCTGTTGTATATACGAGGAAGTAACATGCAGTGCTGGAATACGGGTGATTTGGTACCTGTAGTTATTGTAGCTTTTGATTTTTCACTGTCAACGATCGTTTTATCGTTTTTACACAGTTTTCTCGTCTTGAAACTATGTTCCAGTAAAAACGTAAGATGGATAGCATACTTAGACACATATTAGACTTCGTGCTGGAAATGATTATCAAAATCTCAACTCATGTCTGGCTGCCACAAAACTATTTTGTTCTAGTAGGATATAATCCTGATTGTGTTGATTATCGGCCAGTAGAAGAATGCCATGCTACTGTTGAAATAACCAAGAAGATCTTTTGTAGAAGAATTGGAGACATTTCTGACGCTTGATACTCGTTAAAAACAAGATGGTATGAGGTGCACAAGTAGGCAACCGGAAATTAAAGTAAATGACAATGAAAACTTAGTATATTAATAACAAATTCAAACTTTGAAGCTACTAAGGCTGTATTTCAAACACTTCAAACTTAGCCCCAAATAGCCTCAGTTCGAAAGTTAGATTTGGTGTGTCCAATGAAGTTTACACTTATCAATTTATACAACCTGGAGACAAAACTGGTGTCGTTATTAAGTGAAAGTTGTTGCTGTTACTGAATCTCGTTTTGCAGTCTGAATTTCATGTTATGACAATGACAGTACAGTGAGAGGTCAGGCAAAGCCCACAACTGAATAGGTTTCTAAGCTCATGACATCATGGAATCTGCTTATCATAGTGTCAACTACGACAATCTCTCCATCATGAGAGATATTTAATGTTGCTTGTTTTGGGTTTCTTATATCGCAAAATCTGCATTACAGTTGTTTTAAACAAAGCTAGAAATCCTATATTCTCTCCCACACAATCCTTTAGTCTGCCCTCCTCCTCATTCACTTTCCCTCGAGTACTTCCTAGTTGAGAGAAAAAGAAAGTCAGAATCCTAGTCGTAACAGACGGTGATTTTCTTTGTATAAAAATAATTAGAATTCAAAATCAGTTTATCTTTCATATCAACCAAAACGAATCATCAAAAAAGTGGAGGGAAAATGCTACTGGTGAGATTACTGTGAAGAAAATCCGAACTACCGATACACATGTAATAGGGTGGCAAGGTAAACCAAGCGTTGCCAGATCAAAAGTCCAGAAATTCGATGATGTGAGTTCAATCCATAAACAACAACCAAAATTAAAGTTTTTTGTCGTCGTCAACTCAAATACAGTAGCACATATCGTCACCAAAACTATCTCAATCATAGCTGCTAGCACTTCGAAACACACAAGCATCTTGCCTTGATCCAAACGCCTCAAGCTCTGCTAAAGAACTGACTTCTCTACAACTCCTAGATTACCATCAACAGATAGTCCCTAGCACTAAACGAACAACAAACAACAGCAAGTCTACAATAGAACCATCCCATCAGACCACAATTATCCACATCTCTTCTATCTTATTCCCTATCGAAAAGACATCCAGAGCCTACCGAACACCCAATACAAAGGAGATATAGAATCAACCAAAAAGCATCCGTAATTGTAAGATTACATCTCATATCTAAACCTCTTCCATGTCCAATCATAGCCATAACATCAAGAGAACTAGAACCATTCGTTTTATATCATATTAGTACCCTAGCATATACTACCTACTACCACCAAATATAATAACACTTAATTATCAAAACCAACAACGAAAATCTACAATTAAGCGAACCATCTCATCTCCTTCTCATTACCCACGCAAAGAAGAACAAGTCCCCAAAAAGATAAAAAAACGGATATGAGTCAGATTTTAAAATTTAGCGATGCCATTACCATTATCATCCTGCTCCCTTAACTATTTCCTTCTCTTTCATTACATAGATAGGTAGGTCTGATGTATCTGCAGTAACCCATCATGCTAAACCCAGACAAAACAACTATTACCTCCTATCTACCTATGTAGATAATAAAATCACTTTTCCACAGATCAACCTTCAACTTGCTAGTCATTTAATACAAACAATACCTAGGTACACTAATAAGAATAAGACTCCCATAAATTAATCAACTAAACTAACCTATGAAAAACATACAATTCTTATCACCAACACGCACCTACTCAGTACTTAAAACAACTACACGTTTCGCTTAGCTCTATGATCATGTATAGTTGAGAGCTCTGTGATCATAGACAATTAAATCCAACACCCGTCTTATCATACTCTAGCACCTGTCATAAATTTACCAGATCTCACTAGATACTGTTTAAGGAATTATTATAGTATTAAACACCGCTTTAATGTTTTGGAACCCTGCCAGACTATTGATTCACACGGAAGCAGAACCTCTACGTGTCCATCCTACACCATTGCATTGCCCCAGAAAACGCCTTGCTTGCCATACTTTCCATCTGATTATCCGAATTGATATCAGCCCATTTCATAAATATTTCATAACCCTTTTTACACCTCCTAGCACACGTGTTATTCCAATAGCCTTCAGACGTCTGGATATGCAGAAGCTCCCTAGGTCATTCTCGCTTTGCGTGCCCTTTTATTCCATGCATTTCCCGTCCTTAAGCATGTGCTATAGAAGTCAAAACTTCCGCCGCATCTGATTCAATAGGTCCTTGGCTCTGCTCCAATGGCGTCAGATCTCTAGGTGAAAATGGAGTCCTACTTGGAGACATAGCCGTATTCGGTGTATGCTCTGTATAGTCAACGCCGCGGATACTGGGTGAATTTGCTTCTTCGTTCATAACGTAATCGACTTCCTCCCGGGGAAGCTTCGCAAGCTCAGCAAAGGCCGCCTTTCTTTTCGCCTCCATTTCCAAGTCTTTTGCAATGGCAACATCAAGTAGAACTTCCTTCTCCATCCATTCGTTCTTCCTTATTTCTTCCATAATCTCGCATTGTTTTCTTAGCGCCTCGCCTTCCTCCTCTGCCCATTGTATTTGCTTTCGTAGTAATTTCCATAGCTCAATGGGCCCTTTCGCTTCTTCTTCCAAAGTAATTCCCAATTCCGGAGGATATGATGTTGCCATTAATGAGGGTTCAACTAAGGGTGAGATATGTGCTCCTGCCATCGGATTTGAATCTGGGAATGGTTTCATGACAACTCTGGGTTGAGGATGTCTAGGTAGGCCTTTTGAATGATCTTGGATATGTTTTGGAATAGGATCGGAAGGACGAAGAGCTTCGGTTTCGTGAACAGTTCGCATATGTTTGGCAAGAGCATCAGAACGTGTGAAAGCGCGATCGCATTCTAAAATACCTGTTAGCTTTGTTCTAAGATCCAGTTGCAGACAACGAACCAGGCAATGCGCAATAGAATGGCTTTTCTCCAGTATGACTTCTCATGTGTGCCTTCAGAGCATAACCGCTTGCTTGTGGTTGACTTTTCCTTGGACAAGCCAGCCATTCACATGTATATTTTTTCGGTCTAGAATCAATGTGATCATGATGTAAATGATCCACCAACTGATCCATATCTCCCAAATCTCCCTTAGTGCAACCAAGCCATGCGCAAACAGTAATTTGTTCATGTAAATCATCTAGAGCATCTTCAGGTCGTTGAACGATGCTTGGAGAGTCTGGAATGTCTCCTTCGGTATCAGTAGAACAATAACCATCTGTTCCATCCATTTTGATACGAGATGTGGCGATGCGCAAAGATTCGTCGCTGCTTATTTTTTGCCTCTTAGCAGGCGGCATGTGAGCATCTGCAGCCATCCGTTCGTTGTCTTCGTCGTCAAATGCGTCTGAGGAGAGATCGGAGAGGGGAGATCCTGGAGGTGAGTCGTCGGCCATGTTGAAGAGATCGAAAGTAACAATTAAATAGTAGAATTGATGACCGTAATTACGTCGAAGCTGAAATTAGGAAAGGTGAGGTGAATTGTGGTGAGTTATCTCGAGTACAGTTGGTGTTTAAAGAAGCTTTGCGAATATGCAGTTGGGTTGCACTGAATGATGTCGGTCGCGAAGCATCAAAGCCAAGAGCTTGCGGAAGTTGCCGTGTAGCTCGCAATTGTTAATCATCCATCCACTTTTCTCAATTGGACCTCTGAACATTTTCTCTCTTCAATAAAATATTCTCAAGTACTCTTCGTCTCGTCAACTTTCTCAATTGCAATGAATTTTGTTCGGGAGACATGGCAGCAGTACTGTAGCTACCTGCGAGACTCGAGAGGGATGATTATTATATAGGTAAGCTCATACTCTATCACATTTCTTTTCTTCTTTTCGCGATGATGAATAACCCTCGAGTTCTGCAATTCGGAATGAGACAGGCAACTGTATCTATAGGTCGACAGAAACACATTACACAATTTATTCTGAGCTTTACAATTTAATCTGCATTCCTTGTGTACTACTCTACTTCACTCTTGTTACATGATCGCTAACTTCTCTCCACCTATCAAGGCTTTTAACCTTCTAGTTGTCCTGATGAATGTTCCGGATAACGAGCACCTGAAACTGGGAACTGTTTTGTTATCAAATCAAGTTCCGCCAAATCGTCTGCACTTAAAGAAATCGCCTTTGAATTCTCTGCGATACGATCGACTGTAGTGGCACCAGGAATTGGGATGATTTCTGGATTGCCGTCTTTCTTGGAAATAGCTGTGAGCCAATTGATCGCAATTTGAGCCGGTGTACAATTCTTTTGCCCCGCAATCTTTGTCACGGCATCGAGAAGCTTCTTGTTATTGTCAAAGTGTTCCTTCTGGAATTTTGGAAACGTTCGGCGTATGTCGCCCTCGGGGATATCTTCTAGCTTTTGAATTGCACCGGTCAACAAACTTCGGCCTAACGGTGAGTATCTGTTTTTCATTAGCCATACTATATCATCCATAGAAACCAGAAATACATACGCAACAACCAAAATATCATGTTCTCTGCAAGCTTTGGCAACCCCATTTTGGAAAATATCCAACGTGTTCAAAGCAACCTCAACCTCACAGGCCACAATCTTTGTAACCTTCGCGGCCCTCCTGACCGTCTCTGCCGAACATTCACTTAGAGAAATGCCTCCAATCTTCCCCGTCTTCACATATTCCTCCTCCAAAACCTTCATCGTAACCTCAATTGGGGTGTTCTTATCCACTCTTGCACATTCAAAAATATCAATCTTTTTCTTGCCCTTCAAAAGTGCTAAACACGTATCCAAACTCTTCCTAACGCCTTCTGGACTTCCATCGGGAACAAATTTCTCGAGATTGATACCACCTTTGATACTCAAAACAACTTTGTCTGCATCTTCTGGATACTTCTCAAAGTAGGCGGCGCAGATGGTGAGGGAATTGTATTCAGGAGTTCCGTAGAATTGGCCCCCATTCCAGAAGTTGCATCCTTTGTCAAGCGCAGCTTTCAGGGTTTTAAGGGATTCTTCGAGGGGTTGAGGCTCTGGGCGCCAAGAGAGACCTGGAGAAGGGGAAGTTAGTTTGGAATTGAGATGGAGAGAAGTTGAGAAGAGGGGCGAAGAGGAAACACAAACCCATCATGCCATATCCAATGGTACCAATGTCTTTGCCGAGTAATTGAACCATTTTTGCTGATTTTGCTTGTCTCGCTGAGGGGCTGAGATTTTGTGTGGTATTGTAATTGAGTGTTTAATTTTGGAATTGAGGTTTGAGATTTGAGATGTGATGGAGGGGTAGCTCAAACAATTACACAAGTGTTCAATTGTAGGAATGGTGGGGTAGGTAGGTAGCTCTTGCTGGAATGCAAGAAGTAAAATGGGAACGTCTTATTGTCTTTATATATTTCATCTCGCCATGCAATGCTTTATCGACCTGCCCAAAGGGTTCTCAGAATACTTGCCTAGATAGGTAGATTTGTAATATTTAATCAGATCATTATATCATCAGTAATATTCCGATGCAATCAATCATGGGAAATCCACTTCAGCATCATTGGTAATAGGGGCGGTGCGGCTATTGGCGAGCTCGGGTTTAATAAATTAAATCCATGAATACCTACGAGGTCGATAATGAAAATGTACATGTGCAAGGTGGAGATTATTGTGAGTTTGAGATGTTTATTAATGTGTATGGTAATATTTTACTGTTTGAGATATACTAGGGTATTATACTTTGGCATCGTGAATACATGCCAATGTGACGACGCAACACCAAAATGACTTCGGACTACGGACAATCATACGGAGAAAAGGTTCTTGGCTGAGTCTATTTCCCATACTAACTTTTATTGTGGTGATGGAATTAAGGAACAATCGAGGAGATAATTGAAGCAAAGATCGTTAATGCCGCGCTTTGTTAGTATGCTGCTGACTGTAAAGTTTCTAGCCGTTCCAAAACGAGGTGAGGGAGCCGTTGACATGAACATGGGTATGTAAGGTGGTGGGATGTCCGAGTATGTCTGAAAGTACATCGACAACTTGAATCCATCCAAGCCACATCCGGAGTGGTATATAAAGTCTCAGCATAACCTTGGAACACCCATATATCATATAACTCTCGCCCAGTTCACAACACCATGTTGCTTATAATATATATCTTTTACTAGAGGTAGTCGCCGTATCCAACTTTTGTTACATTCCTCAGCAATTCAGCCATCTTCGTCCCTCAAAACCCCTTCAAAATCCTTTTTTCAACTCCCCACAAACCCCTCCTATTAGCCCTCTTCCTGGCACTAGCACTCTCCTGATTCCCAAAGGGAAACCCACTCGTCCTCTTATCCGCACCAGTCTTTTTACTAATTCTTCCATGCGATGTTCCAAAAAGTAAACACCAGCCTCCAATCGCAAATAGAGCTGTCGAACCAAGTGATCCCAATGCAAATGCAAAGGTACCCATTGTTGTGTAGCGCGCATAGCAGTGGAATGCTATGAGGCCGTGATAGAGAGTGCTAATGGTGAGAACGGGGACTGCGTAGGGAGCTTTGGGATCGCTTTCGGAAGAGGTGACTGCAGAGGAAGTACTGTCGGATATTGAAGATGTGAGGGGAACAGATCCGGTCAAGAGAGCGGTTAGTATACCCAAGGTCAGTAGGGTGAAGCCAAGTGACCGGGAAAAGTATTCTTCAAGAGCTAGGCTTTGTTAGAATGTAGTTTTAAGGTTGAATAGAACACAATAATAGATACTTACTAGTAGCATCTCGATACTCAGGTGAGAGCATTGTAATTATGATCGTGGGTGATATGATTAACGGGAGGGATTGTAATGCAAGCCATCCTGCCGTTCCATACGTGTAAGAGTAAAAGACCTATTTAGCAGTCAGTAAACTACTCTCAGCATTTGAGAGAGAAAGTACATACATCCATGATTGCTGTAATTATTCAAAGGAGCTTTGTTTGTATCCTCAAGCCTTCAGTCTTTACTTATTAGATATCAATATTGAAAGACTTCAAAAGTACAAGTTTAACTACGAAAGAAAGGTCACAGTGCCTCTTATGTGCATTCAGCTCTAAAAGCTCATCCCAACATCTCAAAACCATTAATCTTACGTCATTGTTCTCCTCCCAAGGCAGCAATACGATATATAAGGCATCACTGCATCTTTAGTGAGGGGCTGCTTTCTACAACCCTTGTCAACGCCACCATCTCCGTGCTCCGATCCTCGCAATCAGTTTTGACGAATTATCTTAATTGTGATTGTAAATGATTTCCAATCTTTGAATTTTTGTGAAGATAACGAGACTCATCCACCTTTATAAGATTCATACATCTCCGACATCTAGATACCTAATACTTATATAGTTTTAACTTTCCAAACCTACTCGCAGAGACAGAAACCTGGACAATATCAACATTACAAGAATAAGAATTTAAAAGAAAAAGCGGCGCATTCAGCGTCCGCACCCCTCATCGGAATCATGAGCGCGATTCTTTCAGCAGACGATTTGAACGACTTTATATCCCCAGGAGTCGCATGTATAAAACCTGTTGAGACTTTACCTGTTGCGAGGCCTTCTGCGGATAATGTATGTATATTCTAGTCCTTCGCCCCTCGACCTGATTTTAATGTGTCTGTCTAGGAACTCGAAATATCCTTCAACACCGACGCCCCCCTTCCATCTGATTTACCCCCTGCGCAAATATCTCTCACAGACTGTCTCGCATGCTCAGGATGTGTGACATCCGCCGAAGCCGTTCTCGTATCCTTACAATCGCATGCTGAAGTATTATCACAATTAGATTCGGCACCTGGTCTTCGCCTACATAAAAGTGCGACAGGTATAAGCGTGGAGGGACTCGAACAAGGAGGAAAAATATATGTCGCAAGCGTGAGTCCACAGTCGCGAGCAAGTATTGCGGCGACTTTTGGAGTCACCGAACGAGAAGCAGGTTATATGATTGAGCATCTACTCAGTGGACCAAAGGGGATAAAGAATCGAGCGGTTTATAGGAATGCATTTCAATGGGTAGTGGATACGAATATCACAAGGGAGGCATGTTTGGTACTTGGAGCTGAGGAAGTTATAGCTTCTATGAACGGCGCAGAAGAAACCAAGAAACCTATTCTGACATCTTCATGTCCTGGATGGGTATGCTACGCGGAAAAGACACACCCACACGTTTTACCACATTTATCACGCATGAAGTCACCACAAGCATTGATGGGAACTCTTATTAAGACGACATTGAGTCGAAAACTTGGCATTTCACCTGAGAGGATATGGCATGTAGCGGTTATGCCATGTTTCGATAAAAAGTTAGAAGCTAGTCGAGAGGAATTGACCGACGCCGTTTGGGAAGGGACTGGAACCCGGGGCGTTAGAGATGTTGATTCTGTTATCACGAGTAAGGAGTTACTCATGCTCGCAGATTCTAGGCGTATCGACTTTTCCAAATTACCTCGGACTCCATTACCTTCATCCTCGCACATACCATTCCCAGATCCAACATTAAACTCTTTTCTTTTCCCATCTAATCGCAGAAGTAGCGGCAATGGTAGCCGCGAGGCTGGTTCTTCTGGTGGAAACCTTCATTATGCCCTTCATTATTTTGCATCGCAGCATAAGGGATCATCCGTCCAGACAATCAAAGGCCGTAACGCAGATGTTGTGGATTATACTGTTGTCGCAGATAATGGCGACATATTACTCAAGGCGGCTCGATACTATGGATTCCGAAATATACAAAATCTTGTTCGACGATTAAAGCCAGCCAAGCCGTCTCGAATGCCAGGTGGTAAACCAATTGGAAGTGCCAGGCGGCCGAATGGTAAAGCTACTGGTCCCGATTATACGTATGTCGAGGTCATGGCTTGTCCGGGCGGATGTACTAACGGAGGTGGTCAGATTAAGGTTGACGATCCAATAAACACAAGTCGATTAGAAGGTGATGCGAAACCTGGTCCACAAGAACAGAAACTGTGGCTGGCCCAAGTCGACGAGGCGTACTTCTCTGGAGAAGAAAACGCTGAGTCTCCGAGTGTAGATGGACGTGATGATTCAGTTGAAGGAATTTCACCTTCATACATTAAAGATACCCTGTTGCATTGGGCGACAATAACAGGCCTAGATCTGGATAGATTGGTGTATACGACTTATAGGGAGGTCGTCAGTGATGTCGGTAAGAACGCTGGTGACGCAGAAAGGGTGATAGAAATCGCCAATAAGATTGGCGGAGGCTGGTAGTTGATGACTCTAGAGCAGAAAATCAACTCATTTTTCCACCTCGATTTGTGAATTCGAATCCTCTACCTGCCGCATCAGGTCCTCTTGGTGCTCTAATAACTTGTTCGTTCTCTCGTGATGTTGGTGTAGATGTACCTGATCCTGGTCGTGATCCTTCTCCATTTCTAGATGTCTTTTGTATTGTGAACGATCCGGGCTTGGGTGTATAGTTCGGATCAAATAATTCTTTCTGTCCAGTTCTACTATCTGGCTTACTATCAGGTCTCCGAACATCATTTCCTCTACCTCTTCCCCTTGCTTGTAGAGGGGGTGTTCCATTTCTGGGAGTATTACTACCGCTACCCCCTCTCCCATTTCCAGAATTACTTCTTGGTGAAGAACTTGTCCCTAAGATTCTGGCTCTGGCTTCATCGTATTTTCTTTGCTTTTCCTCTCGTTCACGTTGCGCCTTTTCACGCAGTTCTTCAGCACTTGGTCCTGCGACAATTACTTCCTCTTCTTCCTCTGCTTCAACTGTGGTCGTTTTACCAGTACGAGGATCTATCTTAGTGACTGTTCTGGGAGCGGGCTTTCGAGATAGAAGTGTAAGAGGGGCCTTGTAAGGTGTAGCTAATGGGACAGGTTTCGCCAGATTTGGAGGGAGAAGGAATGGAAATTGTTCTGAAAGGCCGCCTGGAGTTTCGCTGTTGAGTGAACGTGTTAGTTATTTAGAGCGCAAAACAATATAAAATGTAAGCGTGTAGCAAAACATACGCAGATTCCCATATCTTCTTGTTAGTCTCCGCATGTTTTGCTAATCGTTCAGCCTTGGAAATTTTGGGTTCGTCCTCGACCGCTTTTTTCGATGTAGGTGCTGCATCCCATGCATCGGCTTGAGATTCCCAGTCGTCGTCCCAAGCACTAGGGGCCGATGTCTTTTTGCTCATATTCTGTTGGATTTCGTGAAGTTTCGTATTAATTTTTTTGCTGGCGAATTGAGTGAAATGTGGTGAGTTGTGGAGGGATGATGAAAATGGAGGGGTGTACATTTTGGGTTTGCAAGGGATGTGGCTTGGTGTAGGGGTACACCACGCTAGTGCTGGCTAGTGTAGCCTGCAGGGCAAGGCTGTGGGGTGTTTATTAACTTCAGAGCTTCATTTGTTCTAATCTCCGATTGTGGGAAATATATTCACTGCCATCAGACGAATAGATCTGCCCTCTTGATACTTTCCAGCCTATAGGTTCCCAATACGGTGGTGTAAAAGTCTACCAAAATGTCAGCACAAGAATCTCCAGGTAAATAAAAGCTTCCATCCTCCAGCCCCAAGTTGGTCAACCCCAAAATCAATCATCTCACAAGCTCCCTGACAGATCAACAACAACCCGCAACAGACGCTGAGATCGAAGTTTTCTCAAGCCAAGAACCTCATATACAAGATCACGCAATGGAAGCTCCTGACTCTCCACCCGATCTTTACTCTGCCCACAACCATTCCAACACACCAGCTACCACACCTTCTAAGAGCGCTGCTCAGGAAAAAGTTAATCATGGTGCGCCTGGTAGTTCGTGGAATTCAAAGAAGTTTCAGGAGGAATATGATAGGGCATGTGATGGACTAGTTGACAAGAACTGGGATGGCAGTGAGTTTCTCCATGCAAGTTGCCGCGAGGGGTGGTAGAAATGCTAATGTGAATGGCAGAAACCAGATATGGTGACCCGTTGTTGCCGAAATGAGGAGGCTTTAATGACTAGGTGATGGGCTACAGCGTGGATGATTTTTTATGATAGCATTGTTGCGAAGCAGTTGAGGCAGAAGATATGATAAGATGCATAATGGCTTGGGAGTTGGGAGGATTTGCTGGCGTTTTAGGAAGAGTAGACGGGAGAATGGCAAGGAATAGTCTCTATCTGCTTAGAAATGGAGGTGTAGTACATGCCTCATTCTACAGTCTGTCTGATATCATCGTGTTTTCTATTTGATATGTTCACTCTGCTGGCTGGGGTAGTGTGATTATCTCCTTCTAATTGTATTATTGCTAATATACTAGAAGATTGCGAAGCCAATCAAGATTGAAGACTCAAGCTGCAAGTGCAAAGCACGTCTCGACCCAATCTAAATTTTCACTGCTAATCCGCCATCGAATCGTTAAGCTGTATTGCCACATCAAAGCCCACTCTGGATTTCTTGCCATGTCATAGCCTATTTATCATCCGTGCTAGGAGCAAAAGCCGCCAAAAGTTTTTTTCTTGCAATGATTTCTAGAATTATTAAAAGTTGGCCGAGTCATTGATTTGAGTTATACCGTTAAAACGTACCAAGCATTGGGAGAAAATGGCTCAATGTTGTGAAGTCTCCAACCCATCGGCGGATCTCATTGATGCTGTCACAAACTATGTTTTCAAATATCAGTACACTTTCACATATGTTGGTATTCTATGAGATAACGGATGATTTGCCATGTAGTCCAAAGTTCGATTCAAATGTGAACGATCATGTAGCTATTGTTGGACAGAATTTAGAGATTACTCACTGGGAAGTAAAGAAATTTCTAAGGAAATTGGCCACACCTATCCTGCTGGAGCGCTAGTCTGAGTCTACGTCTGGGTCTATCTCCGCAGAAACTGTCGACTTGCGTTTCTTGTTTTGGACCTCCTTCGCCTTGCTTTCGAGCACCCGGTCGATTAGGACAAGCTGAAGTTCAAGATTTGGAACTTGAACTGGATTCGGATTGGCATCGTAATGGCTTGGTTTTTTTGTGAAGAGTTCGACAACGAACTTGCAGTTTTTTATTAAATGGACTTTGAAATCAATATCAAATCTAGAGTCGCCGTGGTAATTGAGCAGGCGCCTACCATTTGAAATGCTTTCAAATACGATACCATCTGTATACCCACTGCGGTTCCAAAGTTCCAAGGGCGACAACGGGTTATTGTTTCGCTCCACCTGCAAGTAAGGGAGGAAGACCATGCCAACAAACACGATGAGCTTATCAACATCGAAGAAGTTGACGTGACCCGGAATAATCAAGGTCAATGTAAGGACTTGAGCCAAGTACCTATGGTTCTTTGGGAAGGTTGGATTGTCTGAAAAGAACTTTTCACAGATTACAATCTGTTTGGGATCAAGTGCAATCTGGGGTTGTGGGAGTGTGGTAGCCATGTCGTCTGTTGCGGTTTTGACTGTGCCGAGGGGTAACAGGTGGCTTGGTTGTTCAATGTAGTGATTGAAGTTTGCTGAATATTCTTGAGTGGTAGTTGGCGAAGATGGATCAGTTGTTGTGTTGAGAAAGAGGGTGGAGGTGATATTAAAGTTGGGAGGTGGACTAGTCTATGAGTAGGCCGCAAAATTCTTGAGCTAATAGATATTCACTAGCTACTCAGTTTCAAATAACTTACCTAGATATGCTGGAATTTGAAATAATTGAGTACGCTTTTTCATTGCATTTGTTCACCTCAAAGTCATAATTTAATGTCTAATGTTGCAGTTGAAATCGGTTTAATGCAGAAGTTTGTCTTCACTTTTGATTGCAATGCTACCGACTGAAATGATCATTCCGCAAAACTTGCTTCCTGCCAACCATACTTCCATACCATAAGAAGACCATCGCGTAACACTGCAATAATAATCAAATTTTCCAGGTTGAGAATGCTAAACTCAAGCTCTCTGAAGTATCCGAGCCCCCAAACATGTCGCTGTCATTTTAGACGTCCATAAACTCTGAGACCTCCCCTCAAGTGTATTCCAGCAGCCCATCCAATGCTCACAAATTGACTCTCCGTGTGATGTAATTTGAAAATAATACCACCGAAAGTCTGTGATATTATCTAGCTGCGTATGTGTGTCAGCAAGTTAACACTCAAGATGGGCTGTCGTATCATACCTCCTGCGTTCAATTCTATTTTGGTGCACCTTTCCTTTTTTTGCTTGGCTGGTCGAGACTATTAGATCCATTTGATGCGATATTACTACCGCCGTTGGCTACAACTTCGATCACGGACTTGATGGATCCTGCCAACTCCGAAAGTTTGCCTAGAACTTCACCCTTGACCTTATCTTCCATCTTGCCTTCAACCTTTTTTGAGACATGAACCCTTGCTTTAGCTTCAAGTGCACGATCGACGAGAACAAGCTGAAGCTCGAGGTTTGTACGTGGTGTGAGTAATGGGGTAACGGCCGGGGCTGGTATGGATTCTGCTGGTTTCCTGCAAAGTTCGAGGAGGAATTGACAGTTCTTCTCCAAGAATCCTTTGAATTCGAGGTCAGGTTCAGAGCCGCTGTGGGAATCTAACATTTGGCGACATGAAGATGTTATACTCGGAACACATTCACTGTAATAATGAACATATCTATGCATCCAAACTGCAGGTGGAGGCAAAGGGTCATTGTCGCGGTTGCTGATAAGACGTGGGAGGTATATCATGCCAAGAAACCTTAAAAATCCGTTGATATGATGGTCCTCGATAGGATTGGACTGTATACAAATTAAGGCAATCGTAAGAATTTGGTTCAAGAGGTTGTGATCTTTTGGGAGTTGGGAACATCTGTCGAGGAAACTCTTTTTTCGGCGCAACTGCTGCACGTCTTGGAAGGACAATGCTGTGCCTTCTTGGGTTGAATCGATCGCGCTCATTTTGCTCGATCTGTTTTTGATTGTTTGATATATTACTGGAATTTTCAAGTCGATTGAGCTGTCGTCTTGAGAAAGAAATGACTGTGGTGATGTTTGATTGAGGTCGTAAAATATGGAAGTCCAGAAATCAGAGGTTATCTAAGAAAAATTTCCTCCAAGATTATTCGGCAACGATTCAGTTTTTTAATCGAATTATGTTTTATACTCACCCTTTCGACTAGATTGACTTTTCAAGTGGAAACATAGATTCTCGTCGATAAAACTGAAAGTGATTGTCTGGTGTGTGTGGATGTGTTCGTCACCAAGATATTGAATGAGTTTTGCGCGGATATCATTGCGACTATAATATGTTCTGCGACATGAAAGCTGTGTGTAAATATAGAAGTGATAACCTGTGCATGACATATACACAACCGCCATTGAGGTGAACTTCGTACTTGTAAAAAGCTACGCTGTTGTGCCTCTCATGCAGGGTGTACCCAAAGAGATACAAATCACTATTTGGACCGATATTCAGATTTCGAGAGTTAGGTAGACTGCGCAAAAATACTTTGCTCCATGAATAAACCTCAAGCAGTACTACTCACTCCACAAATATTCACTTGAATCTGAAAATAACCTAAATCACCTTTGAACATCACCCAAGCCAAACTCAACATCAATGACTTGCAAGATTTCAAAGATTCTAGAGGACTTGAAACTTTCAACTTACCTGTCGAGGCAGTATTGGCAGGACCACATCGCTTACATACAAATTTCACATCAGTTCTTACTGAATCACCGACCAAGCTTTCGAACGTTGAATAATTTGTTGCACCAATCATCTCACATCTGACGTTTGTGCACCTGGGCTAAAAAGTCTGCCTGTCCAGTTTTATTATACTTCGGCTTTGAGAAATAGCTCAGAGAGAATTGCTGTCGACGGTCTCTTTTCTGTATGGGAAAGGGCAAAGTCTAATGGTCTTTATCCGCGAAAGATAGGGTACTGTCAAGTCAAGGCTATGGAAGCTATTAAGATGGCGTTTGGACTGCTAGGAAGGATCTGATGAGAAAAGTTTGAGTACATGAAGACTCATAGGACTAGTTTTTTGGATTGAAGTTTCTAATAGCAGTCGCTATTTTCTCAATATACTGATAGGTAACAACAGTCCTTTATGATGCAAATTCCATCCATCAATACCTGCTGAGCGGTAATGTTTATCCATGAAGGCTCTGCTCTATGCCGAATCAATTAGCTCCCACACGAAAAGCCCTGAGATTTGATACCGATTGAATTGTTTCCTGTAAATAGATAACTCATATCCTCAAATGATTAGAATTACTGGCACTGTTACTAATCCAACATGTGAACCAGTATACGGAGGTATCCAGCATCTGAAAACCGAGCTTAATAGACAACAAAGGCCGGAGCCAATTTGAATCCAAGATCTTGTGACATTCTAGTCAGTGAATCGCGGAAACTTTTCAGAGAGAGCGGAGATGTTGTGTCAGAAAGAAGTGAATGTGATGAACTAGTTTAGCTCTTTGAACCTCCAATATTCTCATATTGAATTAAGAAAGTTCCAGACCCTCCGCAGAAATTTCCATGTACTTGTTCTGAGCTAAAATATTGATTTCCATTCGCATTTGCTTCTTATCAAGTTGAAATAATTGGAAATCGTAAGTTTCGTGCTCGCTTATTTATCTTATTGAGACCTCTTTTCAAAGTGGTCTCCTGGAATCTCTTTGTATCATCTACACGACCAAAATCCCTCGCTTGGGAACTACTTTATCCTTTGTTATATAACACATCTATAATTCAGCTCTTATATCCCTTGGCAACTTGGCAAAACTTGTTGCTATCTAGTTCCTCTCAATCTTTCATCCCGGATTTCTCTATGCGCTTCACCACGTTAGTGGAACCTTTATATAAGATGATACCGGCCGCAGATATTGAGACACTTCCATCCCCAGAAGTGTTGTATCATCGTCGCTCTTCGGAAGTCTGGTCTGATAGCTATCATGACCCTAAGAAAGAGGGTAGAGAGTCAAGTGAAGGACTTCTCTCAAAAACCCACTCTCTCGCTCCTTCGAAAACGAGATTTTTCTTCAAGAATCTTCTGGGGATATCAGTTTTATTCTTAATTATTTTGAATGCTCTACAGTTGATCTTGATCCTATCAACCAGCTCCAGGTCCTTGGAAAATTGTCTTGCTTCACCAGGTAATAATCTCGCGTTTTCAATTTCAGTGCAGATCACGATACTAATAGGCCATAATCATGCGGATATCCCAGAACTCAGTCTCGAACGTTCTCAAACCCGTCGGATCGCTCGCACCAGCCCTTTTACTTCACGCAATGCCACAGACGGTAATGAAGCCTGGCACAACATTCTACCCGGCCATGGTGTCGTCGCTTTACCCGCGTCATATGTCAAGAAGAACAATATACCAGAGTCGACTGCAACTCATCTGTATTCTGGTGATACGGAGCCCAAGCATATCTATTTTATTGAATCTTATCACGTTCTACATTGTCTTGTATGCCTCTCCTCTATTTTTCCTCTTCTCTTCAGATATGTTACCTTCTTCCAACCAGGCTCTAACACAAAATAGCGTATGCTTCGCAGCCTCTATCATTCTATGGACTACGGACTACCCAAAGAACCATATCTTCCTCCGTTAGGTCACCCTTACCACTGTTTCGATCGAATCCGTCAATTCATCATGTGTAATCCGGATTATACACTGGTGCCCAATATAGCAGGACACGATAAATCAGACTTCACGCAACCGAACAAAAAGTGTCTGGATTGGGATGCATTGAGAGATTGGGCAGAAAAGTATCATGGGAATTACATGGATGATTTTGCAGTTTCGGCCAAAGAGAAAGAGGAGATGGGGTATGATGAAGTGAATATATATAACAATTATAAAAAAGGTGATGGGTTACCAGTGGGACAGCTTTAGGATTTAGTGAGCTATGGATTCTAGAGAGATGGGAAGGATGGAAGATGGTAAATACTGCAGGGGATGTATAGAGAATAGAGGATAGCAACGACTTGTACTATACATATGGGGCTAGAATGCTGGACAAATACACTTGCAAACGACCATGAATAGCACCAACGATGTGATACTGCATGTAGTAGAGATAACTTCCTTCCTCCAGCGGAAGTAACAGGATAGAGCGGAAACAGTTTTCCACCTAGACCCACCTCCACCCGCTCTCCCTCCCGTCCCCCACTGCACCTCGTCCCCCACCACTCATGTCCCATTCATTTAACTCACAATACTTCCCTGCTAACACAATGGCAACATGGTTTGAATTTGAAAGAGCGCTCCCATCAAATAGGAACAACAATTCCTCTACCAAGCAAGTTGGCGCAGTGGAAGCGCGCCGGGCTCATAACCCGGAGGTCCCCAGATCGAAACTGGGACTTGCTATATATGCTCATCTTTCTTTTTGCAGTTTCTTTGACTGTTAAGAACATATACATATATATAGTCTTGGATCGATTTCTTAGGAAAAACAAGACACGTAAATACACAAAGAGAATCTCAAACTTTTATCCTTCAGATGGGACAAGGGATTGTCAAATCTTTCCAGTTGTGTAATCTTTCAATTATGTATATCATCATACGAGCGTTGATTATCGAGTTATCCATGAGTTTGAATACCTACATCGTACAGACGGGGAAATTTTGGCAGGTGGGGTGAATTGAAAACTTCCACCTGTGCGGAACAAAATATATGAGCGGTCCTCTATGTATCTCTTATCCTATCACAAGCAGAGAGGGAATCCACGTTACATCCATTTATTAATTTGTGGTGTGGGGCAGGTGATGGTGGGGTACTTTTTGAGGGTTCGGCTAGCTCAGGGGATGTGGTTTCTAACCGTGATTAATGTTCTGTAACTTTTGATTTGGAATTGCAGGTGTCAATATTTAGGAATTTCTACATAGCATAGAATTGAGACCGAGCATTCAAAGGTCTTACCTTAGTAGCTAATTCCAAGGGAAAAAAATGCTAGCTAGCCGTCTTAAGCAAGTTACCTTATTCCGAAGAGCCATCAAACAAGCTGATTTCGTCTAACCCTCCTCTACCACAAAATTACAACATCTGCTATGATCGGAGCTGCATGCGTGATTGGCAAGTTACCCATTACATTCTCTGTCTCCAGCATCACCATATATCCTCTATTCCTTTAAATCTTGAGATTTTCCTTGTGATGTTCCTTCTCTGAACTATCATTCAACATCGATATTTATTCATTACCCTTATGAAAATCTAAATTCTTCTTTGGCAGGATTGTAGGAAGATGAGGAGTGATGTGAATCAATCTCGTTTCCAAGTAGTCCTTGTGTGCGTCTCTCTCAACTTACCGATATCATAGGTAATAAAAGCCATCTGTCACCACACGAGACTCAAATTCAACATGAGAGTGAGATGACTGTCAGAATATAATTTCCTGTTAGAATATTTCTATCAATCACCTTTTCAGCTGTCCATCTGTCATATCAATACAAAACATCTAACAGTATTGATTACATAAGAAACATTTCGAAATACAATTAATCTCACTTAAATTATTGAAGCATGCTTTTATTCAAATCCTGAAGATCGAATCCTATATCATCCATCTAACAACCAAGCAATCAGCCTCATCCAATCAAATGTTTCCATTCAACAGTCACGACTTAACTCTCAAATATTTACAACACAGCCCAGTCCAATTCCACTATCCAGTGATCAATCTTGCATTCCGAGAAAACCTATCACCAATACTTCATGTCTCCCATAATATCATCTCTAACCCAGCACCCCAAAACAAATTTAGTAAACCATTACTTATTTCACTACATTAGTAAACACGGATTATTTCTTCATGGTTTCAGTAAATCTCTTCCCCTACAATCAGACACGGAGTTTTATAATGTAAGAGTTTATTCGAAAATTCACATCATTTTCAAAATCATACTGCGTCTAAACCCTTTAGAGACGCATCTTTTCCGAAATTTGGAATTCCAGATAGATTTCTCAGTCTAGTAGTATCTACCTACCTATCTACCTATCTATTTACCTAAAAAGCACATATCCATAGCAATAGAATCTCCACCACAAATCTCCATCCCCTTTTTCCCTCTCTCTTTATCCTCAAAATTTTCTTTCCATCGCTTTTTTTTTAAAGTTGTTTTTGAGGCTTGAGTACCTAGGTAGGTAGGTAAGACATTTGCAGGCTCAGATGTTTGAGATGTAGATATGGGTTTCGTGACTTGTCTTGTCTTGTCTTGTATCATAAACGGATGTGGCGTTTTACTCCTACGGGATTGAGAGGATGTTCTGGGAAGAGGAGTTGTTTAAGGTGGGTCGGTGCGGGTTCGGGCGCAGATTTGATGGGAGTGTGTAGTGTGTAGTGTGTAGGGGGTTGGATAGTGTGGTGTGGTGTGGAGATGAGGAGATGTTTCTCAATTGTTTAGTTTGTGTTGATGGAATTAGCATTTGAACGTGGAGGTGGAGAGGCAGATGGAAAGGAGAGGAGAGTGAAGTGAGATGAGGTGAGATGAGACGAGGTGGAGGGTTCAGAAACAAATTTGAAGAGGAAAAGGAGGAGAAAGAAGAATAATTGTATTAGATCGATAGACTCTACCACGAGTTTCAAGTTAATTGGCAAGTCATATCTCCACGCGTCGACGATGATAATTCCACTCACAGATAGGAAGATCAGATGAGGGGAAACTACTACCATGACTTCTGGCTCACTTGGTTTCGAGTATCAAAGATGATAATGATATGAGTATAACATGACACGCCACGACATAACATAACGTAACGTAACATAACAGAATCGCAGTCTTAAATTCCACAATCGAATTCTAGACTCCTATCAAGAAGGGAAGTCTCGATATGCGTACAGACAGACACACATGATAAATGATACTAGTACATAGTACGCAATACACAGTACCACACAAAAAATTTCCCTCATACTCATAGAAAGAAACACACAAAAACATAGATTTTCCCCAGAAACCTAAACACCTCGCTCGATGCTCGAATAAAGATATCATGCCAAAATTGGCACCCTAGAATAATATACACCAATATCGCCGCATGTGTAATCCCAAAGGGTTTCTTTCTTTTTGAATTTTTTTTAATCATCATACCTCTCCCCCAAAACAAACGCCTTCAGTTACACCACTCTCGCCTGCGCAACCCTAGGTAAAAGTTCGATATTATCCTACAGAAAAAAACAATCGTTAACACACAGCCATCCCAATAACCCTCCCAAGATTACACCGTCATTGCGTTAGGATTCAAATCAGGATGCAGATTCACATTCGGAGGCGGATGATTCCCTACTTCAAAATTGCTCACATTTCTATTATGGCCATGCGCACTATCGGTGCGCGCTTCTTCCAAATCTCCCGTGCGAGTCATGTGACTCTCGTAGCTTGTGGATTGGTGGTGATCATGGTGATGGAGTCCGCCGACGGGACTATTCGCATTACTTGCATAGCTACCCACTCCCACACCGGCCCAGAACGCACGGTCGGAACTGCGGGGTCCCCATGACCAGCCTGCGCCTTGGGAGAGAGGGAGATGGTAGAAGCGGAATGAAAAGATGGCTGTGAGGACGCCGAGAAAAAAACCAAATAGGATATCGAAAGCGTGATGGCGGAAATCGGAAAAGCGGGTTGAACAGATGTAGACAGATAGAAAGGTAGGGATGACAGTGATGAGGAGGAGATAGAGGGGAGGAGCTGCAGCTTGGTTGCGGGAGGCTATTAACTTATCGTTGTGACCTGATGTGAGAGCTGATGTATCCATGTTCTTGGCGGAAACTTCAGAATCACTACGCTGATGACTCGGAGTGTGGCGGGATGGAAATGCAGAATGAGAGAGTGAAGAATCGGCGGCATAAGCTTGAGGTGCAAGGTAAGGGACTGTCAAGGCGAGTTTAGATGCTAGGAAGAGACTGAGGTAGACAAGTCCGGAAGATGAAAATGATGAGTGACCAGAAGGATAAGATCTGAATCCATCATTGAGAATTTCCTTATCTGTTTGTTGACAGATACCCGCTTGAACCAAAACAATTCCTTCTGGTCTATCACCACCACCAACAGCCCACTTTGCAATATTTTCCATATCAGGAATACATCTCGATATCAAATCTGGACGGGGTCGTCCAAAAAGATTCTTCATTCCACTCGTGATGACGAATGCCAAGGCGCAGGATAATGCAAGTCCGAGCCAAGAAGCGTGCAATTCCCATAACTTCCGTTTCCAAATCAAAGCTTTGGGTACAGATTTTGGGACTGTTGGGCCTGGGACCAGAGTCAGGGTGACGAGAAGAATGACGAGAGCAGGTACGATAAATGCCAAAACGGCAAGAAGAGAGGTGGGGACTTTCTCGTGATTTTGATGCGGAAAACTGATATCTGGATCGACGAGTGAAAAGGGTCGTTTATTGGGCGTCTGGTAATTGAACACAGCACCAAGCGCTGCTGCAACAATACAAATCACCCAGTCGAATACGTATGAAAGGACGACGGCTATGGAGATCTTTCCATTATTTCGAGATCGCATGATTGAATTCATGGTGAAAGATTCCCATCAAGTTGTAAGGAAAAGGACGATAAATTGCCCCTTAAAAGAAGAGAGGGATGAAGATTGTAGAAGAGAATAGATATGTGTATTCACTGCCGTGTGTAATGTAAGAATATTTGAGGCTGTGTTGTTGCCAAGGGTGTTCAAGAAGTTCGATGGTCTTTAAGGTTCATTCTTGACGTGAATAATTGGTCGATTCAAGGATCAGTTGTGACTAAAGTCTCTTTCCCCAAGAAATCCAGATGTAGATGTGAGAATTGATTATTAAAGGGGAAATGATGCACACGACCACACGACCACACGACCTAGGAAGGTCTTGACGTTGACGTTTGAATATTTACCACTTTACCATAGATAGGGATAATAAAGACTAGGTATCTATCGACTCCGTACGATGAATGTAAATATGAATGTATTGTACGATAGATGAGTTATTTATGATCAATTGGCGCTTGCTTACTCGTACCTATGGATGTAAGAACCTTGTACCCTTTTCGATTGAGGCTTTGCTTCTCAGAGTCCTGGCGCTGTGATGGATCTATTGGTTCACCAGTTCTATCCCTTTGATCAATATATGGGTCGAAAAGAAGAATGTTGGAGCTGGAGTGGTGAGCTTTACCGCCATCTAGATCTCTTTCTTTTTCTTGCTGGATTGGATTAAGTGCAAATACAAATATAAATACAAATATAAATAGAATCCATACGATGTAATGCATAGATAGAATTACGAGATTGAAGTTTTATAGATGCATGTTTCACGTCACTTTGTTGGTATGTAAATGGATGATTTCTTTATTTGCTCAAGCCACGCGCATACCGCAGCCACCCTCCCACACGCCCAGCCGCCACATATCAAACCACCACGTAACCTTGCTTCACATTTGTTGGTACACTGGTGCGAAGGTTATGAGGATCTACACTGGCATGAAATGGCATTATGGCAACCTGGGCAACCTGCACCCTGAAACCTGGTGGTATCAAGCCAAATTTGATTTGTTCGAATAAATCATCAAGGGGTTTTGGCGTCTACTCTGTATCACCCCCAGGCCCAGCATAATGATCATCTCTGCTCTGTTCATTTTCGGTGCTGCTTACTAATCATAGGGGCTCGTACGATAAGTGCTCGTAAGTGCTCGTAAGTACTCGTAAAGACGGCATTTGTCAGCTTTCATCATTTTCGGTAACCTCGGATCACAGAAAAACTTTCACGTGATCAAGTCTCAAGCCTCAAACTCGTTTCCTTATATTTGTTAAACGCTACGAAATCCTCAAATCTCCTATCATAATTGATCAAGGAAAGGACATGAAAAGAAACCGACACTCATCTTTATCGCTGAAGCTATCAACTAAAAAAGAAGCCATTCACAGCTCCGATATATTTCCTGGCTGAATTCAAAACAATTCACTTCTCAACTTCTTAATCATTTTGCTCCTTGAATACCAAAACTCCAACTGCTGTTAATGAAGGGAGCGAAGAATGTCCCAGAGTTATTTTGACCCTTTCATACTCACTCCTTCTTTAGGTGTCATAAGGTGGTAAGAGCCCTCGCTGAATTGGATGTACCTCTCTTTCTTCAACCACCTCAGGTTTGAGCCACTGTGGATTGCAATATAACCCGCAGACATGAAGTTTAAAGAAATCTTTGATACTTCGAGGTCCCATATCTGACGCTCCATAGAGCCTTTTCGGATCATCCGATGCAATGGCTGGATCTGCGAGGGTACTAGTGAGCGAGTTAGGGAATATACTGATTCCTGAGAAATTAACTGGGAAAGAGCCGAAAAGATAACTTGTAGGAAAGCAAGCTTACTATCCATTGACATTTCCGCCTCCCTGAAGGTCGCACAATAGCATTTTGCCGTCAGATATGTGATAGGAAAAGTGACTCAAGGCTTGAATTGGACCAGCAAATTCGTCATCACCCGGAACCCATCCTGTGGGGCTGTTGAACTTTCGGTACTTCTCGATAAATGGTTCTATAATGCTTACGGCTCCCGTCTCGTTGTTAGTCCAAAGTGTCGACGGGATGAGGCGGACTGGGTATATTGGAATAGTATTCCCAGCATTGACTTCATCACTGTGCCATTCTGATGGCGTGTTTGCGGCATTGAATGCATCAATGATAGATTGTGCCTTTTTGTCTACCTCAAGTTGCTGCTTGTATGGACCATCATGATACACAGGTCCTGTCTTAAAGCGCTTTAGCACACAGCGCCGACCAGATTCTTTACCATTTGTATAATATCCATTCTGGTCAACTGATTAGTACTAAATTCAGAGGGTGGCAGCAGCAAACAGCAATAAGAAGAATACAGTAACGACATACATATGCACATTTGAAATTTCCGGATGCAGACTCCCGATCCATATAGATTGAGGCTTTTGTACTATCATTGGGGGGATTTGAACCCACGCGCATGGTCATCTTGGCCATGATAAAATCATTGACGCGATCAGAACATTTCAAATCATCCGGGGCATTATACAGGAAAACACCGGCCTTGGACGTATTGGCTACATTGAAGTTATTTTCCCTCATCGCGACGTACTCTAATGACACAGTAAAATGGCGGTAAGTTGATCAGCCAAAAGGGACGATACACAATGTGTTGTGTATATTCGAAGTTTCGAAATTGATGATGAAGAGGTCCCGATAATAATAAGTATGAAATTTGATTAACCAAAATTGATGATAAGTATTGTGTTGTGCGTATATGAGATGTTTGAATTCGATGAGAAAGACGCTCCAACAATGTCGAGTGTAAGATATTTCGCACAAGTGGAAGGCTCCATTTCTCAATCTTCTAAGGGCAGAAGGCTCCATACATTAATTCCCAGCAGACATGTCCCTAGCTTTTGCGCAAACAGGAAGGAACCCCTTGAGTCGATTTGCCATTTTCTCCAGGAGGTTCAACTGAAGGGAGTTCATTCGTCATATTACTTCTGAGAAACAAATGGGTGCCTTTTCTGACTGAAAATACTTCTACTGGCAAGCATCTGCATGCTTCTCTGGTCCTGATTATTCTGCGCAAACAGTTCAGTGTGCATAGTATCACTTCTGTGTGGAAGGAACCAAGTGGCAATGGCAATAGCGACCAATCTGAAAGACTCGTCAAAGATTATCTAGCATTTTGTATGGTAGCATCGCGGCATGTCCGTTCATGAAAACCCTTCAGGGTTAAACTCTCGGATATGATGGTCAATCAATCGTCTCATACCGAAAGTTCTGGTAGTTTGATTTTGCTACAATTTTCTACTTTCAGCCCGGCTATATTTTGGAGTTCATTTATGGCTTTGTTCAATATTCAATGCGTGTTTGGGCTTAGAGGTTCAATTCACTTCACAAATAGTTTTCCTCTAGCTTCCACTACGGTTCCACCTTCCTTACCCTTTCACTTCTTGTGTTCTTTCTTCTACTAGATATCTTTACATTTAAGTAGCTTCAAACAATCAAGTAAAATCAGGAGAAGTTAAAATACACTCAAACATGGAGCATGTAAACGGTGAAATATTCGTCGTCACAGGTGGAGGACAAGGTCATCTCCACCCATGCATCGAGCTTTGCACACGCCTCACCGCACGCAACTTCAACACTACGCTTGTCATCCCCGATCGGGGCATCGAAACTCCTTTCGAACCTCCCTGGTCGGTCCCCGCAACCCTCCCCCAATCATTCATTCAAAACCCCCTGACTTCTTTTCTTTACATCACTCCATCATCATCTCTACCCTTTGTGGTTGATCAATTCCGCCTGGAAGCAATCAGTCAGCTCATGTGCCGCATCACCGACCACATCACCTCGGACTCGACACCTCCTATTATATGCGCAATCGTCGATCTTCAAATGGAATGGACTAAAGATATTTTTGCCAAATGTAATATTCCAGTTGTGACCTTTGTTTCCTTCGGCGCATGTGCTGCATCTATGATGTCTCACGTGATGAAATTGAAAGCAGCGGCTGAGAAATTTGAAACTGGAGAGCAAAAGAAAACCATAGAGGGATTGCCGGTGGAGATATCCATTACACCAGAAGATTACAGACGTTTTGACCGGGAAGTGTTTGCAGGTCTGACGCCACCTGAAGACCCTGATTTCGATCGCACCCCGTTTTCTGAACCCCCCGAACCAGGAAATCTACCGCGATGGTTTGTGGCAATCAATGGCACCATTGGAATAATGTACAATACATGTGAAGAATTGGAAAAACCATTTCTCGACTACATAATGACCGAGTTGAAAATCTACATGCCTGATTGGAACGTGCCTATTTGGGACGTGGGACCCCTTCTCCCTGAAACATACTGGAAATCTGCAAATGATAGTTCGCTCATCAGAGGGAGACGGTCTCAACGCTTATCGAATCATTCAGAAGAGGAGGTTCTGGCGTGGCTAGATTCGAAAGAACAGGATGAGGTGCTTTACATCGCATTTGGAAGTGACGTCGGTCCTGACATGGTTGAGTATTCTCACATTGCAAACGCGTTGCAACATTCCTGCATCTCGTTTATTTGGGTCATACCCCCACTAGCTGGTATACCCAAAGAGTCACGAGAATGCGGGGGCTTTTACCCCGAGGATCTCGCTCTCAAGGTAGGAAAACGCGGTCTTGTAGTTTATGGCTGGGCCCCACAACTTCTCATTCTGTCTCATGTTTCCACGGGAGGTTTCCTATCGCATTGTGGATGGAATTCTACGGCTGAGGCGATAGGACGAGGTGTTCCGTTTCTGACTTGGCCGGTCAGGGGAGATCAGTTTTATAATTCGAAATTGATTGTGGATTATTTGGAGATTGGATATAGAGTTGTGGAGAATATGGAAGATGGGGTAGTGGAACAGGATATCAAGATAGGAATTGAGAAATTAATGGGAGATGTAGAAATGAGAGAGAGAGCGAGGGAGTGGAGGGGGAAATTTCGAAATGGGTTTCCGGTTTCGTCGGATTGGAGTTTGAATGGGTTTATGCGGTTTGTGATGGAGAGGAGGGTGTGGTGAAAGTGTAAGGGCTGTGCTGCACTTGTTTGTTTGGTGTGTTTGTTTCTCTTTTTTTGTATAGTGCATTTTTGGAGATGTCCTGTTTGTTGCGAATGAGCTTGGATATCGATTGAAAAACTTATCAAAGCCATTAGGTGTTGTATAAAAATCATTAGTTTTGATATGTGGTTGAACACTGAGACTTATATACATCTGTGCGGTTACTAGCATCTCAATATAACCAAGTGATATTTCAATCTAGTATACAGCCTTGAATCGACTTTATCTGATAGTTAGATGGCTTTCCATGTGTTGTGATGGTTGCCTCTAGCCATGTGGAAGAATTTAGAATGTGGAAGTGTCACGATCCGTTGACGTGTTACGATCAAACTAGAGCATATCTGCAGAGCTCAAATAAACTAGAATGAGAAAGCTAAAGAAGACAGAGCAAAGAGATCCTTAAGAGATCTTTTTACCTTTTATATAACGGCAAATTACTCTCATACCCTTCAAACATTATTGAATTACTCTTATGTCCTAAAAATCACATTTGTTTTACTCTTATACCCCTGAGATTTTATATCAAATTTATAGAATCTAGCCTATAATATAAGAAGAAGAAGAAAAAACTCCAAAGGAAGAGAAGTAATATCCTCGTGGAATCTACCCTCCTGAATCTAGCCTAAAATGATTAGAATCTCTTCATTCAAGATAGATTCCATCATAGATTCTAAGAAATGTGAGAGTAAATCAGCTCTCAATTTTAGGGCATAAAAATCATTTACTGTATATAACAACGGATCGCTTCGTTTAAGCTATTTTTAACCTATGTTAAGTGTGACGAGTCATCGCATAGATATGTGATATCCGTCACAGAGGCGATGTAGACTTCAAATTGAAATCCAACTGATAATAACAACTGCAAAATTCTTGTAATTATATAACTCTTAGTATTACCATGGGGATTGCGAAATTAATATAGTACTATAGTTCACACTTTTGTAACATTACTTGAGAGTCTAAAATCTAAGACTTCGAAACCCACATGTTGTGATGTTGGGGTGCTAGTGCATACGCTAGCACAGTTACATGATCCCTATCCCGGCAGTATTAGTACTAAGTATAATGACTGTCTAAGTTTGAAGCTCTACAGTAAGGAAATCCATTCTGGTCATGTAGATCTTAATATTTAGACGGATCAGTCCTGCTTATTAGTATTGACACACTTAAGCGAATACGAAAGAGATTAGCTCTTACAGCAGCCCTTATATGAGGACTGCTACTTCCTGTACATAGCTAGCTCTTTAGACAGAATGCAATATTGATAATTAGAACCTACCGTCGTACGTGCTACGTCAACTGCATCTCTCTCATACGAACATTTCCCTTCGCTAAGGCAGACCGAGATTTCTCGTAGCCTATGCTACGTCCAACACAACACCCATTTCAGCCTCAAGCATTAATATTGGAATTATTTAACACGGAGATCTGAAGTTCAAGGGAGAACTTTTAGTAGAGCACCACATTTTCCACATTCCAGCCAGTTTGAAGAAAGTCGGATTTTAAGTTATCAAAAATAAATCCATATTGTGTCCAACTTGAACCATCCATGCCTCCCTTCGAGGACGTAAATACGAATGTGCCCACCCGCAGAAACCCAGGCCCATATTTTGTTTCTGATAACAAAACAAGCCCCAGACCAATATTTGTCAAAAGGAAAAGCCGCAGAGATAGCTTGAGTTCCTCCCACGAGGTATCGTCTAGCAGAGGGTTCCAATCGAGGAAATAATAAATCGTACCTCCAGTAACAGAGGCTTTCCACTCCGCACAGGAGGTTACAAAATCGGGCAGGTCATAGGGCTCAGCGTTCTCAGTTGGAGGACAAGCGAAGGAACGGACCCTTCCTCGGAGCGTGACAAACGAACCTGGTCTCGTTCTAACTCGGACATTTGACTTCGCAGCAACCAGATTGTTTGATATAAACTCGAAGTCCGCTTTTGTATCCCTCGGATCGGGCGGCAGGTTCAGCATGATAAGCTGGCCTTGGTTCCTTGACGCCCAGCTCCATGAAGGCGCGCAGTATTTTTCAGGGTCATGTAGATCCTTGATCATGTTGTGGAAGGAAACCTTATTCTCTGGAGTAATAGCCCATTGCAGGCTGACATCAAAGTATTCATTCCGCCAATGTCCCGCAAGATACTCCGAGGGTTGGCCTTGAGTAGGCATTACTCTTTCGAATGCTAGAGCGAGACCGGATACAGAGGCCAGCTTATCGCTGGGAAAAGTGAACTGCCTGCCGCTGAAATCAATCATCCACGTCTCCCAATCATCAGGTGAGATATATGAAGTCTGAAATCTCGATGCTCTGAGGATATAACTCGAGGAAACGTTACCCACAGTTCCATCCTCAGAATAGATGTAACCGTGGCATTTCAGATGTACCATCTTTTCACCAAATACAAGAAGCCTCTGGGCCATAATCTGCTCTTGCCAAACCCAGCCTCGGCTTGCCCAGATAGAATTGGACAAGTCGATCTCAGAGGGTTTTTCGAGCATTTTAGAGAGATAAATGCAGTATGACCCTACGACCTCCTTTGAGAGCGAGGACTGAAAGCTCAAGGTACAAGAGAGATCTTCTCTTGGACTGAAAATGCTATCACGGCAGCTCCTCGCGGTTGCTGCGCCGATGGTGACGAAGGAATGATAAAAAATGTCGGACATCATAAGGGACTCTCTTTCCCAGTCTTCGAGTACATCTTGTAGGATGCAAATGGCGTCGATCCAGAGATACTGCATACCAAGCCCGCGGGACACGGCAATTGCGTCCTGAAAAATCTGTGGCATCTTGTGTTCTGGTAACTCCGATTTGTACCTCGACAATGTACTGGAAGTTGTGGTCAGCGGCAAATCGGACCCCCAACAGTAGCTGAGGCATGCGTATTGTAACTGCTGCTTGGCCATTTCTGAACGATCTTCAAGTAAATCTCTCGTCTCCACAATTTGGGGACACTGGCCTGTTGTACCATCGCCAAGATATAGGAGTCGTGTTGGTAAGAAATTTGCTTTGTTTTTGGAAAACTCGCGAAACTCTACGCACTCTTCATTTGAATCGCATTCTTTGATCCATTTCTTGATCAAAGGCATGACCTTTTCGGACGTAGGTCCTTGCAGGGCAATAGGAGTTCGCTCGATGTGAAGCCAATCTCTACAGCGACCTGACAAAGCACAAGTAAGCGACTAAGCGTGACCATGAAGACTCAGAGTAAACTTCGACTAACCAGGTTCTGCCATGATTGGAAACTTATCCGGCTTTGTTTGATGATAAGTGTTTTCCATTTCGGGGTGGCTGTAAGTTATAGACAACGCTCTTAGTCGGAAATATGGACCCTTATCCGCTTTCCGTGTCTCTGGGGGCGAGTACCATTGATACCTTCCCTCGATTTGCAGAGGTTGAGAGGGGTTTTTCCACCAGAGGCAGTCACCGTAGCGATCTAGCAGCGATATTTTCAGCGCAAGACAGAACTTGCACGGAAAGGAATCGGAGAGTTCCGGCAGATTAGGTGGCGTCACCGTTCGCTCATAAACAACTCCCCCCTTCCAAATGCTATCAGAATCCACAATCTCACGACTCGTGTCTGTAACGGACCTGAACGAGTCGGCATGTGGGAAGTATAGCACCGATACGCCATCTTCGTTCTTCAGGGCCCCACCGGAATCGGCGTCATCCAAGGCCAGCTGCGCGGAACATATCGCGCAAAGGGGAGCTTCAGTCACTGTGTTAGAATCCCCGTTGCTGGCGACCAATGGTGGGTCCATTGTCTTATTTTATAAGATGCTAAAGAGCTGAGATGGGAGGCCAGGACAGCTCGGGGGGACTTGAAATATACAACAGATATGCTATCAGAACTTCTGTAACTATGTGTATGTGCGTGTGATACTAATACTGCGAACAATTCGGGTAGTTGATTATACCTTTGCCAATCAGGATAGTATTCGCACATTATCAGCTGCTCAAATGCGAGTAAATCTTTACCCTTGACACTTGGTGTGCTACGTGTGATTTTTTGTCTTGTTGATGGAACCGATTCAATGTCGTAATGTGGGGACCGCGTATTGACTTGTTAGCCTAACCTTGGAAGTAGATTTGTGTAGTATTTGAATCGAGTTCGGTAAAGATAGGAAGTAAGATCGTTTAGGATGGACTTTTCAAGGAATCATATCAATATAATCGTGTACTTCTCTCTTGATTGGCCATGGTCTGCACGTCAAGTAGACCAAAGTGAGTGCTGAAAGCCATTTACTTATGCCTTTTATCCTAGAAAAAGCTCATGATCTTTGCCAACCGACCTTTCAGCCTTTCCTAAAGTTGGCTGGCTCTCATGTGCTACTTGGTCGGCTTTGTCTGGTCTAACTGAATTGAAGAGAAATGGCAAGTTGTCGAACGGAAATGGCGGGGGTTAAGGTAAGCTTTACATAATCATTGCGGCTTATATAATAATCAGCTCACTGGTGGCTCTTCATGGGTAGGTACTTCAACAGACAGCTAGTGTTTTGAAAATTACAATATTTGAGCGATTGAATGGATTTATTACTTTGAAAGTAGAATGAATTGGATGTTATACTACTGTATGTATTATTCCCAAGTGGTCGTTATGTTTTCATTCCTTGCTCAGTTCATCGAGTCTTTTACTGTTTGTTTCGAAGTGTGTGAAAAGGCTGCTTTTATACTAGAATGTGGCATAGAAATTGACTTTCTTACTTTCACTGTCAATGTCCTAGCATTGAGGAACTACGATGATGATATCACCGCCTCAACCCCATCTAAAATAGCGCACTTCTATTACTCACTCCTCAAAACCAATTCTTAACCAACTTCACCAACTCCTCCGGGCATTCCTCCGGAATATAATGCCCCCCATTCACCGCAACACCCTCCACCTTTCCTCCACAAACCTCTTCCCAGAGCCCTACTACATCCCCAAACTCACTTCCGCATGCACCCTTCTCACCCCAAACCACAAAAACATCACATTGAGTCTTCTTTCCCTCTTTCCTATCTCTTCTCTGCTCTTCAAGATCAATCGACGCCCCAGCCCTATAATCCTCACACATACCATGTACACCCTCTTCATCTCTCAACAATCCGTCATACACCTCTCTAGCTTTCGCATCCATGACAAATCCTTTGCCCACTCCACCTTTCCCTAGAAATTTCTCGGAAAAAAGGTTAGGATTCCCCAGAATTGCTTGTTCGGGGAAGGGAGAAGGTTGCGAGAGGAAAGGCCAGTGCCAGTATTTTTGATACCAGGTGTGTTTTCCTAATTTGTACATGGTTAGAGTGGGGAGAATATCTAGAAGCATAAGCTTTGTCACGGCTTCTGGATGATCTATGGCGAGTTGATGGGCGACACGGGCGCCGCGGTCATGGGCTAGGATTGAGAATTGCGGATAGCCGAGATGCTTCATTACGGCTAGAAGATCGAAGCCCTAGAGTATGTTAGTGAGTTTTGTAGAGTTTATGAATTGTATAGTATACAAAGAAGTTCTGACTCCGCAACCCTCGAATCCACCACCCATTTTAAAATCCCCAAAAGAACATACAAACACAAACACCCACAACACACCACAAAAACACAAACAAAACACAAAAACCTACCATAGTACTCTTACTATACTCCTTATGCTCCTCACTACCCTTCGGCTTAGAACTCTCCCCATACCCCCTCAAATCCACCAACACAAGTGAAAAGCGATCAACCAAATGCGGCGTAACCAAATGCCATATATGATGTGTTTGTGGGAAACCATGGACGAGAAGAAGAGGAGGGCCATTTTTGGGTCCTGTGAGGGTATGGATTGAGATATCGGAGCTTGTGGAGATGGATTGGGAGGTGAAGTTTGGGTAGAAGGTGGCGGAGGTCATGTTTGAGTGGTGGTGTGGTGGAAGTTTGAATGAAGGAATTGAAAGTGGGTTTATGTCGGATGTTGAGGTTCAATAGATATATATCGTAATGGAAATGAGAATGAGAATGAGAATGGGAATAGAACAGTATTTGGAAAATGCAATTGGTATGGTGATATCGAATTGCCAGGTGATTTGTAAGATATGAGGTTAGATTATGACGAATGCGGGGTAGTTATGGTGGGGGTAGACTATTTAGGCGTCCGGCTAGTGCATGAATTCCCTAAACAGTAGACCGCGATAAGCTGTTGATCATCATCTAGGTATGTACTCCGTACATCATGAGCTATACTAGGCTATTCTGTCATTTATCGGATTGTATTTTCTATATACGAGCATGCAGATAGTAGTAACCCCCCATTCACAGCTGAGTTTGTCCTAACACTTCAGATTCATGCATCCCTCACGAATGTGTTTCGAGGAAAACCATTATTCTTTTGTATGTTCATAAATTGTACACATTGATATTTATCTAGGTATGATGCTTGTAATAAGTCCGACCGACTGCCCTCATATCAATTCACATCAGAAATCCTCATCCATATTCGTTAGTCGTCAAACTCCAAAACTATGCTCAATCGCTCAAGATAAGTATCCGCTTATCAAGCTTTTCACGCGCGTCTCCTTTCCCCTACTCGCTAACCCTTTCGTCCCATGTAGATAGATACCACCATCTCATCTTAAAGTCATTCCGCCATACCCAGCCAGACATTATATCGTAACATTTATTGCATATCCTTCCGCCGTACCAATTGTATATCGCACCCTTCTCAAAATAGGAAGCATATCGTGATTTCCACTTCAAATTCCAAATGGACTCTCATAAAATCCCAATCCGTCCGCTTTCACCTCAAATCACCAATCCCATAACTCCAGCCGCAGCAGCCGCATATGGCAGACAATTCATCATGGTTGGTCTTGGAATCATTGCGCCCACTCCATTAGTCCCAATGACGAAGGTAGCAGTTGCGGCTCCCGTACCGAATTGTGCACATCCAGCGCTTTCAACAGCATTACAAGCAACACTACTCAAACTTTGACAGACGCTTGCTGCACTAGCTGCTGGCAACCATCCCCCACTGATGGTGCTTGCAGCCACAGTAACACCGCCATTTGCAGCCGAGATTGTGATTCCCGCGCCCATTCCTCCCTCGAGATCAACAGTACATAGCGCATAATTCTTAGCACAAGAATCCGTCGCGCTGGCACATGCTGCAGAGTTGACATAAGAAGTAGGTAAGATCGGGAATGGGAAATAAGCATTTGGAACGAATGTTCCCGTTGCAGTCGCAGAGACTGATGCTGGACTTGTTGCAGTTGCGACTGCGATAGTACCAGTGCAAGATGCGCCAACTGCACAACAAGCTATATTATGAGCAGCATCTGTTGAACATACTGCGGCTGCAGGACAACAAGCACCGCCATATGAATCTTTCAAAGTAGAACAGGAGTTGTAATTGCTGGGGCAGTTTCCGTTGCGTTTGAGGAGTTCGGGTTTAGGTTTTGAGGAAGCTGGTGAAGTATCTGGGAAAATAGTTTCATTTGATATTATAGATGATTCTGAGGAAATATCAAGGTCGAGGGAAAGTGGTGCATAGAAAGGTTCCGGCGGTGAGAGTAATGATGGAATCTGGAGAGCTGTGGTTGAGGTGAGGAGGGAGAAAGCGAGGAATGAAGAATGGTAACGCATTTTGGATCGTTAATGTATGGAGATATAGGTCTAGATTAACTTCAATGATTAGTATGAATATTAGGAATGTGTATAGAGAAGAAGAAGATCAAAATCGTCCGAGGAATGGAAAAAGAAATTTACCCGTTATATCAATCCAAGGTTCGCTGCCCAACCACCTATTTTATTGAAATCCCCGCCAAATGTAGCCAAAATTAACCTTATATTGCGCGATAGATATCTAGAGACTCAGATCTTGGAATGGTGTATCAATGGAAAGTTTGTTAAAACCACTCAAGATTTCATAGACTTTAAGATTTAAATATACGTATCAAGCGATAATGAAATCAGAATGTCTTCTCACCGAGTGCGCCAGCTGTTGCATTCAGGTACCAGATACATAATTATCTGCAGATATCGACCGTTACCACGGGGATAGTATTCGGTGAGGCTAGGATCGGAGGCGTTTAACCTTAATTCGAGTGGCTGGGGTGGATTGGGGAGATTCACCGCCTTGGGCAAAATTCGCTTCATTCACGTTTACCGTCAGTCGGGCATCAAGGGTCCAATTTTTTACTCAGCTACAATAACTTTTATTACATCAGGTACATTCAAGAAAGCTATGGGTTGAGTTGAAGGGTTGTATGCCACATGCTATAGCGATTTATGGAATGTTCTTTTTGGAATAACACTTCACTACTACTCAAGTCAATCATTTTACTGATTTACTAGACTGAGTCCGGAAACTGTTCGCGATGATATCCCTCAAGAATATTTGATAATCAATGACCTCGAGCGAGGCCAGTATTGCGAAATACCTACTTGCATCGTTCCTCTCCCATAACATAAAGGGTTTGAACAACTCAAGCACGAACTTGATCGAGGATGAAATAGCCAGCGAATCACTGCCCACTTGGTCATCAGCCTATCAAATGATGTCGACATCGACCTATCCCAAGAACGGGGCACTATGTTGTCTAATAATACTCGAGACCAGTTCGAGAGGTCAATCAAAACCACAGGTCTCTACGAACCCCTAGTTCCAAGTCACATACGTATTCTACGACTTGATGGCATAATTCACATAGACGAGCCGAATCTTGGCTATTCTGTCCAAATCCTTATTGCGGAACTAGGAAGAGTATACAATACTTCACTCAAAAGTGATTATCCAAAAAAAGAAGACCGCCCCATGCATCATACTATATTCTTCCATAAATCCTTGGACCATTACATACTTTCACATTTCCGTGGACCAGGTTTTAAAAGAGAAGATCCGACGAATTTTCCAAAAAGAAACCTCAAGAAAACCTTGAAACAGAAGTCATCTTAGTTGGCTAGCAATAGAAGTCAAGTTTCTCAATGAAAGAATGAGGGACCAAAATGGAAGAAGAAGACTAAGAATAAGAATAAGCATCCACCTACCCCGAAGATGAAAACCAAAGGAAAGTAAAGCTACCAACGCTACGAAACCGTTTTCTGGCATGTACTGCTCGGAAACCTAGAGAACATGCTCGAAGATAAATTCTAAATTATATCAACCACGACAGGGTAAAATAATGAGGAGGGTGAGGCTTTCTTGCGCATCTTTTTGAGCTGAGAGTAAACGTGGTAGAAGAAGAGGTATGAAGTGGAGTCTCTCGCCCTCGCAATGTCGTAGAAATTAAGGTCGACGACAGAATTAAGAGTTGCCCAGACGGAACCCTTATATACCAGCATTGGAAAGGATTTTCTTCTTCTCCCGCCTTCCATTACATAGATGAAGTTAGGACGGTTCACAACGCTGAATAAAAAACAACTTCGTGATGATATATTTGGTAAGTTGTTCTGTAGTTGACTTGCACTTCGTCAGTCAACAAAAGGTTTCATATATTTAGCCCAATCGATAGCATGGATAGTTATGTTGACCATATGTTCTCCAGATTAATCGGATGGCATCGATATGCGTTGTTCTGAAGAACTATACTCCTTTGAAAGCTATGTACTTAAATTAAAAACGGACAAGGGAGCACTCAAAATAAATGCATGATCAAGGGTCCTCTCCACCGTATCTTCACAGTCTTTATGAGTTGTATTAAATAATCGTTTACATTCACCGAATCTCTTTCAATATCATCAGTGAATTGCCAACTCCATTGCCTGAGCACCTTCTGGTATCTTCCTTTGACATACCCAATCAACCAGTCTTTCGTATAAAACCCCACTCCAACCTTTTCACATCCATCACAAAAAGGTCAGACTGGATAATCCCGAGAAGCGCAGGAAGATAACTCGTCGAAGAAGAAGAAAACAAATGGAGCTCGACACGTCGGACGTTGATTCTGAAGTACCGGAACTGGAAGAACCAGAACCGGAAGAACCAAAACCGGAAGAACTGTATGAATCAGCAGAGCCTCCTCTCAAAAGGAGCCGTGGTATTGATGATAGCATGGTAAGCATTTTTCCATTTTAATACTTCTATCACAATTTACTGACCCTTTAATTCTCCAGATCCTTGCGCATGGTGAACTTCTCAAAGCTTATCTGCGCATTCCATGCCGAATTTCCAAGAGAAATTCCGAAATCGATACTTGCAAAGAACTACTTGAAGGATACAAAGCCGAGAATATAATCCGACAAAACCAAGCAGATGTCAAAAAGCAAATGCGACATTTTGAAAACGACGAGGAGCAATTCGTGGAAAATTACATCAACCCTCTCATTAAACTACTTCGTGAACAACCAATGATCAAATGTGCTCCTGAGAATAAGGAAATCATGGAGTTGTATGAGAGACGTCATGAGCTGGAGGAATTGATACAGAGTTATGAGGAAGATCCCAATCTCATGGAGCATGGACAGGCGTTTTTGAAATACTTTCACGAGAGAGTCTTCCAGGAACATTTTGTTAGAGTCCAGGAGAATATTGATTGGTGTGAGGATGATATCGAGGAAAGTGAGAAGCTGCAAGTGGATTTGAGGATTATGTTGGTAAACTCGGGGATTATTTTGCGGGGGAGAGGTCTACCGATGAGACGGATAGATGATAGTGGAAACCCTATTCAGGATTAGCTATAGGTGAGTCTTATCACATTTGGCTTTTTATGTCTGTAACTTCGAGATACTTACATGTAAAACACAGCGGTTACCAGAAACAGTTTTGCGCCTTCTCTTCAGCCTCTAAGACAATGCGCCTACGTATTCAGATCTCCAAAAAGAACCCCCTCCACCAAAGTCGAGTCACTAGCATTTATTGAGCATCTCGGTAGTTCATGGGAGGATAATGATAACAAAGCTCTGAACTTTGATGCACCTCGACCTTGTTCTCGCTTGTTTTGGTGTGGTGTGATACGAGTGACGTTGAAGAATTATTTACATTTCCAGTTCTCTCTGCTCTCCCTTTTTGGAAAGAGGATATACACACAGTGTAAAAAAGAGCCCTAGAGTCTTCTTTAAAGGTTACAATTGCAAAATCGGAAATTTTGTTGCATATCTGAAATCCACGTTTCGAGTTCTGATCGTCGTCGATCAGGTCCAAATATTAGTTCTGGCCTGAAGATCACCAACGTTGGTATTGGCCAGACGATCCCATTGGTATTTATGTGAACCTCGACGTTGCCATTCCTGTCGACCTTGATGATGATCTTGCAACCGATCTCAGATGAGATATACAACAAAGCTCCTAATCACAACTAGTTTAACAAACGTACCTCCCTTCCAATGCAAGGCTGTAATAGAACAATGATTCCACTATAAAGTTTTGTTGCATATCTGAAGAAATCTACTCTAATCGCAGTCTCAATAACTACCACCATCCTCATCGATCAGGTTGAACCATTCTTCCTATCAAATCGACCGAAGGGCGATTACAAGCACTCATATTTAGCTGGACGAAGTAGTGAATGACCTAGGTACGTTTTCTCGTTTTGTTGCACATCTCAAAAAATATATATGCTAGCTTATTGCTAGCCCCATCAATAGTTCATTGCTAGTTCCAAATCACTTGCTAGCTTTTCACTTGCTAGCTTTTCACTTACGCGAAAGCCCATACACATCAGATATGCAACAAACCTTCCAAACTTACCGAACTAAGTTCTTTTGAACGAAGTAGTGAATCGACTACATTTTCTAAGGTTTTGTTGCACATCTCAAAAATTATATATGCTAGCTCCTTGCTAGCTCGATGCTAGCCCATCAATAGTTAATCGCCAACTCCAAAGTAGTTTCTAGCTTTTCACTCATGCGAAAACCAATGCGCATCAGATATGCAACAAACCTCGTGAAACTACCGAACTGAATTCTGTTGGGCGAAGTAGTGAATCAACTACATCTTTTGAAGTTTTGTTGCACATCTCAAAAATTATATATGCTAGCTCCTTGCTAGCCTACTCCTAGCCCATCAATAATCCATCACTAGTTTCAAATCACTTGCTAGCTTTCACTCATGCGAAAACGAATACGAGTCAGATATGCAACAAAACTTTTTGTACGTACCGCACATTCACAAGTGAATATTCTCGCCTCAAGCAGCACGTGGTTTTGATCAATCAGAATTCCAGCAAGAAAGTTTTGTTGCACATCTCAAAACTTATATATGCTAGCTCCTTGCTAGCTTGTTGCTAGCCCATCAATAATTCCTCACTACTTCCAACTTCATTGCTAGCTTTCACTCACGCGAATATCAATACATGTCAGATATGCAACAAAACTTCTGAGGTTTACAGCGTATTCACTAGAAGAAGTTCTCGTCTCAGGTAGGATGCGATTTCGATGGATCAGAATTTCACCGCGAACATTTTGTTGCATATCTGAGTTTGGGTAAAGGTGAAACATCTGTTGTGATGGATTCATCAAGATCAATGGAAGCTGGAGTTGCGAAGCTCCTATAGCTACTATCTCTATTAAGCAAATTCAATCAGACTTCAACCTGAACGTTGCCGATGGCCTTGAGAATCCAATATCAACCTTGCCATTGGATCTAGCAAAGTCACCCCACTCGCGCGCTTTTCCGAAATTCACATCTGGCGTTTATAATCTATTGGCTCCTGCCAAACTATGAGTTTGCGCTCGCTCTTCTATTGGTCCCAGAAATTTGATTACGTCAATTTCGAGATCGATCAGATGTGCAACAAAACGCGACGGGGGGTCTAGATTTGGATCTAAATTTGACTCGATTCACTTCCAGTGTTGAGTGTGCCTATCATACCTAGTTGCAGATACTACATTCATTAATATGTACTCTCATCTTGAGAAAGTCACAACTTCAATGGGTTAGATTTTGACAACTCAAAAACTTGTTCAAGGGACATAGATCTTGGCGATTCATTATTAGACAGTCCTTACTACTATAAAAATGAGGGTTATCGCACAACCCAAGCCCCAAGCCCCAATACCATATTCAATATCAATGGAAATCAGTATACAAGCTGTATCTCCCTCGGCTCTAGATCAACTACGATCACTTAACCACAAGCAAACACCTGAAGTTGATAATCACTATTACTGAATATTACTGATTGATACATACCTAAATACACAAAATGTGCAACAACTCTTCCAAGAAGATATACGCCAAACCAAACCAAACCATACCAAACTGACTTGGACCATATATTTCCATCCGTAAATCTACCCACAAAACCCACAAACCCCACAAATCTACATCCAATATTTTTCACCTGATTCAGCCCATCAATGAAGACCAGTACTCCCCCATCCCGGTATCCAGAAATTAATCACTATTAACAACCCTCAACGTCCTCCTCGGATTCATTACCACATTAAAGAAACTTGGTTCTCTATCCCCCAGTAAATCCTCCAAACTACTCGTAATACTCCCCGTGCTTCCTATACTCCCCATTCCCTTTCTATGACCTCTCCATCCCGCTCTTACACTCTCACTTCCTCCCATTACAACCCCCTCATCTTCTTCATCAATGGTCTGATAAGATGCTCCTCCCGGCATGATTCCGCCCCCAAAAACATACGTTCCACTCCCCCTTCCACTTGCCCCTCCCCTATCCTCATTCCCACTACCGCTACCGCTACCACTTCCTTCATTCCCCGAACTCGAAAGACCTCCCCCTTCAGATCTGACACTAGGCGTCTGTACCCCACCTGCGCCACTGATATCCGTCCCAAACGGTCCCAGCATCATCCCTCTATCTTCTCGACTTGATCCACCCGAGCCCCTAAACATTTTACCGGCAGGCACGAAAGCCGTTCTCTGTGACATCACCACATGATCTTTATAAAGGTTCAACTGTCTCCTATAAAGCCAGGTACAAAACGCCAGATATCCAGCTAGAAAAGCTAATGCAGCTGCAATGACACCTGCGATAATTGCTGCTTTATTTGGTCCTTTTTTGTCTGAGTTAGGAGATGAAGTTGGAGTAGAAGTTGAAGTTGAAGTGATTGTAGATGGGGATTGTGTTACTGTGAACGTAGGCGGTTTTCCCGTTGCTAAGGGACCGGCAGTTGCTGATCCTGCTGCAGGTATAGTCGCTGTCGCGCCTCCCAGTCCTGAGCCGCCAATAACAGATTGTACGATGTCAGGAACGGTATAACCTGTCGAGCCTTTAATGATATCGGAGTCTTGGTCCGATGAAGAGGAAGAGGAAAATGAGAGGGCTGTAAAGGAATTGGTCCATTGAAGTGACGATGCATTGAAGACATATACACCAGGACTATCACATGAGATATCCTGACCGACGTAGCCTCCAACGACTACCATCTGTCCGTCCCAGAGATTACAGGTATGACCTGCTCGAGCTGGGGGTAACGATTGAGACTGGTCTGTCATATCGACTTGGATCCAAGTGAAGGATGGAATGGTTAGAATCCACATATCGGAATACTGAGTTTGGTTACCATATGGAATGAGGTTTTGTCCTCCATATAAATAAACGTTAAAACTACTACCGTCGGGTGCAGCGGCAACGACAGCGCAAGGATCAACACGAATAGGAGGAGTTGTTCCAGAGGTAGCCTGCTTGTACCAAGTACTATTTGCGATATCATATACGTCGATAATGTTCATCTCCGTCTTGCACATGTTAGTTCTCTTGATATCATGGCTAGGGTTTCATGACTTACAAATGTCTCATTAGTGCCACCTGCAAGTCCAAGCAGCATTCCATCTGCTCCCCAGCCAGGAACATATACCAAGACACCATCAGCTCTCTCTGTAAAGCCAGCCTCATCTTGCAAGCCACCTTGCGTAATATTTCTGTATACACCACCGGAACCAGCTCCACTCGTAGTTCCCAATGAAGTCACTCCAGTATTTGTATATCCAGGATGAGTGAATTCTAGAAGACTCTTCAAATATATTCTGGCAATTTGGTTTGACCACCCAGGCGTCGTGTACATATCTGTGCACACCCAATATTAATCAGTAGCTCATTCATTGTCCATACCCACTTGAGCAACCGAGAGAAATGTGATGCTCACCCAAATGCCCCCCAAAATACCAACTTCTACCCAATTCTGGAACACTCAGCCCCGCACCCTCCGCCGCACGCTGAACATCCGCCGGTGCAGTGTCTGACCCATTCCCCGCCGATGTTTGTGGATTTGAAAACTCCGTCCAAGTCGCCGACGAGATGTCATATTTCCATGTTGCTACTGCCGCAGGAGAAGTTTGTGGACTATCTGAGAATTCTCCTCCATATAGAAATAACGAATCATATGTATGCCAGAGAGAGCCCATTGCTACTGCAGGTGGGCCTAATGGTTGTGGTAGGCCGGATAAAACTGGAGATGAAATTTGCCATGATTTTGTGAGATCTAATGTTACAAAGTCGTTGTCTGTAGAGGAATTAATACCGTGTCCAATTACTTTGATTGAGGCCCTTACTCCAAGTATCCGTAGTTTGCCCACTCTTTGTGGTCGCTTCTCCTCCATATATGTATAGTGTTCCATTGACATTCGCAGCTGAGACGTTCGATTAGTTATATCCACCAATCCAAGTGAACAAGCAAAAACATACTCATATGACTCCATCTTGTACAAATCGAAGTAGGACTGTCAGCCCTCCCCTCGATCATACTCCCATTATCCACGAATTCCG